AGCAACTCATACTGGTGCACTGAGAATGAGGCAGCCGCCCAGCAGCTCTTCGGGCCATGTACCCAGCGGCAGACAGCTTGGCCAGTGGTGGGTAATGCATTGCTTGACATCAGAAGAGCAGTCTTTGACTTTTCAAATCCGCGACAAAGGTTCTCTTGGAGCCCATGGCTCTCAAGGGTCTGGATAATAAAAGCCACACCACGCGAATTAGACTTGTTACCTGCCAGAACAAGTTGGCAAAGGCTTGCCTCCATGACAAGCCAACAACGTGTTTGCCCGAGCACGGAGTACGCGGGCCGGAGTTTAGCACGTAAAATAGCGCACTCGCCTCACTAACGGCTGAGTGGCTTCAGGAGGTTGAGCAGCCTCGTTCGGTGGATTTTGGTGGGTTTCAGGCGAGCCCTTCAGTGGATCGCGTCAGTGGCTTTCAGTGGCTTTCAGTGGTTCGACCCTCTGTAATAATAGTGGGGTGGGTGCCTCTTCGGGTGTCGTGTCTAAACCGTGATAGTGAGCACAGTAACTCGACATGAAGGCAACTAGATTAAATTTTATTTTTGAAAAGAGGACTAGAAAGTGGCGAGAATCATAGTCTTTTTTTTCTTGCAGCTATATGTTTCTACCAGCAAAGGTCTAGAAGAGGGTCACGGCTTGTTGCACGGCTGTTGTCCCCCATGTTGTTGGCAGTGGTGCAGAGAGAGCACGACGTTCATGTACTAGCTAGGCAATACGTAATACGTGCCGTTGTCGGCTAGATGGATTCATTATCAAATATACAGGCCTGCTCTTTCAGCCTCGGCAGTGCTTGCATTGTGTCTGCGTTAGCTGGGGTAAACCTCGAGGCCTTGTAAGAACATCAGCGGCACGTATGTACATACATACTGTACGTACTGGTGGCATGTACTTGTTGGCACACGGGCTGCCACGATGTCGGGTGCCGCTCAGGCTGTTTGAACCCCCGGACTTTTCGCTGCTCGCTCGGACGATTCCCGCGTGTTCTTCCCCAGGTCCTCACGCAACTAAGTTGGGATCTTTGATGTGCGGGTAGGCTTTGCGGGTGTCTGTGTGGTGCCGCGGCCGTGCTTATCGCAAATACACCAGACGTCGAACGAGAGAAACTCAAAGCACGGCAGGCTTGTGTGGCACGGCAGAACACTCAGAAACGGACTGCACAGCAGCGAGAAGCGCTCGCAATTGAGTTCTGATGTGCATGGCCAGTGTTCCAGCCGCGCCCTAGTTGCCTGTGTACTTCGAACGAAGTAACTCTCTGCCGTTCTCGCATCTCGAAGAGTAATCTAGATCCTTTTTCTTTTACGCCAATTAGTTAGGGCACGCTATTTCCTATCACCGCGTGCTTGTTTCCTTCTCTTGTCTTTGGTGTTTGTCTTGGGGAGAAGGCGGCACAGCCAAGTTCACGTGGAGTCTGTCTTGTCAAACTCCGTTCTTTGCTTCGCTGGCAGAAGGAGACCAAGCCACTGACACGACATCAATCCTGCATCTCTTGTCCTTGCTGGAATGAATAAAAAGGAAAAGAAAAAGATTTTTTTTCTTACAGGCAAGGACGGATAAGATCAAAGATATCGTCACCGCCTGTCCCTAGTAATCCATCCCCCCCTTTTCTTGTGCCCCTTCTTTGTTCGCCCATGATGCTGGCTGCCCAACCTCTCCAAAACGCGAGGGCGGTGGGAGGCCGGCTCCAACCACGCGCCCCGGCTCCCAGCCTCGCATGCCACGACAAGCCGTCCGCTTCTTATTCACGAGGCGGTGATGGAAATTCCTTTGTCATCGTGACCACAGCATTATAGGCATAAGAATACATACGTGTCTGAGTTACCCCCCAGCAGTTCCCGCATCTCACACCGTATCGAGGCGGCAACAACGACTAGTAAAATTCTAGAAGTGGTTGGGCATGGACAAGCCAGCTACATTGAGCAAGAAAATAGATCCTGATACCATGTTAAATGGTGTAAGTGTGTGACGGCACGGGCATAATAGTTTGTCTCTGATGATGCCGGCTGCCTCTCTTGAATTGCCGTTTCTGGTTGCTATGAGCTGGTGGTTGCAGTGCTGAGGGCGTAGCATTGTAACCAGTCTACTTTCTCTCCTCAAGGTGAGAAAAGACGCGCATATAATGCTCAACGAATCAGATTGCGTCGTTAGGTATGCTCTCACAAATACGGTTCGTCTTTCTAGTCTCTTTGGGCAGCCATGGCAAGACCGCGCCAGCAAGGCCCCTTCCTCCCCCAAGGGCCACGATGAGATGAGCCCTTGAAAGAGCGAGATAGATTTAGATGGGCTGGGTTGCAGCCGGGAGCTGCGATGCGGTGACCCGGGTTGAGTGTGTGGGCTTCCGCTCCCCTCTAGCTGGTTCGACAGGGCCAGGTTTCCAGTCACCTTGCTTTTTTCCTCATCGTCTTTTCCCACCCTCTCAGTCGGGCTGTGACAGTGCCTGGACGGGTCATGAAGAGACGCAGCCGGACGGGGATAGCAGAGCCGGACGGCTGGGCCTTCCTCCTCCCGTTGTAAGCAGGGAGCAAAAAGCCGAGGCAGGGTGAAGTGAGGGTTGAGGGTTTTGTGGCGTTTCTAGGCTCCGTTCTGTCGAAGCTTCTACGCTGGCTAGTACAAATACAGTTGCTGGGGGTCGTTAGGGTTCAAATCGTCGTCAAGTGCTTGGCAACCAACTTTAACATAAATCTTCAGAGCGAGCGACGCCGGCGCCGACGGCCGACGGCCGACACACGTGGCGCGCTTTGGCGTCGTTTGTTCAGAGCCAACCCTTTCCACGAGATGGAGGGCTGGACGAAGACCGCAGCGACAGTATCAACAACTTGAACACATGTACATGGGGGTGTGCCCGCCGGGAAAAAAAAGGGCGGCCGAAAACGGGGAGAGATGGTCGACAGAATCACAAGAATGAGAGAGCCCAGGCTTGGTATGGAGGCGGGCTTGCGGCGAGGAAGCCCAATCTGCGGCGGGGACGGGAACAGGGTGCAGCAGATATGATACCCGAGGAGCTATAACACATGGTCTTTTGAACTGGTCCCTGCCTTTGCAGTCAATGTGTGTGCGTGTGTCTGCCTGCTGCAAGGCAGTGTGGGAAGGGAGGACGGATGGCCATGCATCATCATCATCCCCCCCCCCCCGCGGGCGAAGAATCCAAGACATCCCGGGGTCATGAGTCTGCAGGCAGATGCTGGCATGTGTTGTAGAACGAGGGATTGGTTATAAAATGGGAATTGCTGCCCGCTCCGAGATGGGCCATGCTGTTCGAGTTTGGCATCAGTTATCGCGTGTCCTCCTCGTTGTCGCCTTATTGATAAACCTGGTTGGGCCCAATTTCCATCCCATCGGACGCAGACCCGTGCTACACACGTGTGTATTGTCACACGTTTTGAATATTACTCTATTCCTATTCCTATTTTTATGTGAATTTTACATCTACATCGTCGTTTATTTATTTTTTAAATACCCCTGTTCGCTGCACAGGCCCGACTTTGTTTCGAGAGCTGCAGAGCCAGTCGAAACAAGCCGAGCGAGAAAGCCAAGCTCACAACGGGAACGAGCACCAACACGAAGCACAAATATCCCAAAAAAATAAATCCACCGAGCCCGACAGGCAGCTCTCCGACGTGGTTTGCCCTTGTGCGCCGGGTAATCGTCAGCAGCGAGCGCTGCTTTTTTTCCTCCTCTGCTGGTTCGGACTCCCTTACCGCCCACTGGAGAGCACCGAACTACGCCGACTGAGTAAGGGAAGCGGACCTTTTGCTCATTTGGGCTGATTCTAGTTAGACGTGAGGTACCTGGGCGTGTGTAGCACTTTTGCTGGCACGAGTCGGTATCTTCCGTCCTGACTGCTTGCACCCACCAACCTACCCCAAAGAAGGGGACAGACAGGGCGCTGTAAACCTGCGACCAGCGCCCGCCTCGCCGCCTGTGACAGGCCGCCCGCCAGTACCGTACCTGCTCTGTTGCGGTGTTCGGCAAGTGCTTTTTTCTCGTCCTCACTTGGTTCTCAGCGTCATCCTTTTAGTAGCCTCTGCACAGGCTTCTTAGTGGTGTTTTGCCTTTTTGCGCTTTGTCCCAGCCACTACGAGCGGACGCTCCAGCGTTGTTCCGCCTGTGCTGTGCCACTAGGTACTCAGTTCCTCAACTCAGTCCGTCCTCCGCCCCAACCAACCAACCAACCAACCTCGCCTTCGCTTCAGCCAAACAAAACCCCACCTCAGGTTCTCCACGTCCCTTGTGTAGGTACTTGGGTACCTGTCTTTTGACTGTGGAATCTGTGGGTGACCAAGGTACTCCATACTTCTGCCCTTTTCGACCCCACCCTCTTTGTTTATATTTCTTCTTGTTCTTTTTTTCTTTGAATTGTTTTTTCTTATTTATTTTTTGTTTCCTTCGGCTCTTGTCGCTCCCAAGTCACCGCCCCACTCACCCTGTCCATCTCTGCGCCCGTCTTTGCTCATCCAGCCCGTCACCCTCCTCTTCCTCGGTACTTTCCAGTACCTCTCTTGAGGTATCGCCGCTACACGTTCGAGGTGGAACCTTGCCGCTCTGCACCGCAGCCACGACTCTCTGTCCCTGCCTTGTCTCGTCGCCTTGTCTCGTCTACCTCCTCTGAACCTCTCCGACCCTCTTGGCCGGCCCGATTTACTTGCTTGATCCAATCCAAGCTCCTCTTGACCCTCTTCTTTATTATTCTCCTTCTCCAGCTTTTTCTCTGACCTTCTTCTTGTGCAGCCCGACGATTCACAGAAATCACCTTGCACACCCTCTTCCGCCTGGCCTTGTCTAACCTACATACATACACATACACACATACATACATCGACTCACTCATCCTCTCTTCACCCTCCCGCTTCCCACCAACATCTTCTCTTCCTCTCGTCCTCCACATACACCTCTTCGTACATGCATATCGTCGCAACGCTTACACTACCCCCGCGAACGCCGTTTCGATCTATTCACAGGCCGTGTCCCTCACAGCGCCAATGCTGCGAGGCATGTCGCCTAAACTAAAGCCTCTCCTGCTGCCCCAGTTGGTTGAGCAGCGCAAACGATCCGACTCGGCCTCCCAGATTTCGAGCCCCGATCCCAACGTCGTTGGTGTTTGGCCCTACGTCTTGCCTGCCACCAATTCGTCTTGCTCCGACATTACTTCACCCATCACGCCCACCTTCTCTACTCGCGGCCATGTTCGCATGTCAAGCTCCTCCTCTTCGCTTGATCTTCCTCAGCCCCCCCAGGATGGCTACGTCTCGCCCTCGCTGCTTCCGGGCACCCTGACCCAATCGTCTTCGCGCCAGCTGCCCGATGTCGAGGAGGAGCCTCTTGAAAAGGAACTCTACCAGCAGATAGACGATTTGTCCGACGACGAGGAGGACAGCTTTGGTCTGTATAGTTGTCTATGTGAGTCGAGGCGCGCACATGTGTACCCATGTGCCATAGCTAACAAGCAATGCCTAGGTGACGATGTTTGCCCTCGCGGCAACAGCTCGGAGGACCTTTTTGATGGGGCCCTTGTGGGCGAATTTGACATTGACGACTACGATGTTGGCTTTCTCAGTGACGGCGATGTCAACATCAACGCCTCATACGGACAGAAGAAGCGTGCTGGTATCGAGTCACAATTATCCGGTCTAGGTGCCCGTATCGAGTCCCGGTTCCCTCATATTACACGATGGAAGTCCTCCCGTCGGTCACGCTGGGCAAGTGTTGGCCCCATGGAGTACAGCCTCGACAATGTCCTATCCCGAGCTCCCTCCAGTCGCTCGTCCTCCATCTCCGCCCTCACCCGCCAAAACACAGAGGGGCTCAACGACCATTCTATCCCTCCCACTCCCGCACTGCCATTTGGTAGCACCGAAAGTGTCAACATCCCGTCCCTGACACCCATTGTCACCGATCATGACAAAACCAGCATTGAGAGGGATCGTGCCATGGCCACCACGCCTCTTCTGCCTCCGCTTATGACCGGTCCTATCGGCAAGCCGCCGCCTCAGTCTCCTCTTCAGTCGCCCACTGTTGAGTCGGTGCCTACGCCGCCAATGGTTTCTTCGGCCGCCCAATCACCGCACCTCATGTCCGCACCATTTATGCGATCCTCGCTATCCTCTCGTCCATCGATCCAATCGCTTCGCAATATCTCAAACAGCAGTGAGCTTCCCCTTGCTGTTCCCGCTGCCCTACCCTCGATTCTGCAGGAGCACGACGAGTGGTCCGATCGTCTTGGCCACGCCAACTTCACCATCTCACCTTCACCCTACGACCTTTCTGCAGTCAACCCAGAGACGATTGCCAAGTTCCAGAGCGACTGGGACGCAGCGCGATGCAACTACACCAAGCACTTAGTGCGTACCGGTGAAAACTACGGGCAGACGAGCAAGATTTACGCACTCACGGAGGCCAAATGGGCCGAGACGGAGCGCCGCTGGCGGAGCATCTACGAGGAGGCGGTCAAGCAAACCTTCTCTTCAGTCCCGATGTCAAAGACCGGTTCTCGCAGCCGCAGCCGTGGTCGCGCCCGGGGTCGCTCTGTCAGCGCTCACCCTGGATCAATGCCAGCCAGTCCTCACGGTGACCCGTTTGCTGGCATGGAGTGGAAGCGCCTCGAAGACAGCATGCCCAGCGCTGTGCCTCAGATCCTCGAGGCCCTCGATGCCGCCCAAGGCAAATTCCCCAACCGCGGTGACGAGGACATTGTTGGCCCCATGCACCGCGAAGTTTCCATGGCTGGCGCGTACACCGAGGACTCGCGATCGCGCTTCTGGAAGAGCCTCGGAGCCAAAGTTGGCATCCATCGATAAATTATTCTACCCGCATACTACAGCGAGCGAATTTGCATCTTTGACTTGCATCATTATCCGACCCTGACGACTTATCATCTCAGCAACTTACAATCATTCACACACTTTTCTTTCTCACGAATCATTACTCAGCCATTTATCATTTGTTTTGTTTTGTTTCGGGCTGCCCATGCGCGCCCGTTGAGATACCCCAACTCTAGTCACTCCTTGAAAAGTCTAGTCGGTCACGGTTTCCTATACCTTGTCGAAGGTAGTAGACCGTGAGACGACCAGCATTGGTATTTACGCTTGGAATATTTTTAGACTGTACGTGACTGGAAAACCTATTGGAAGGCGTTACATAGACCGGACGGAACTTTGCTGCTCAGCGCAAGGAAGACCAGAGAGAACACTTGTTTTGCGTTTTATTTCGTTTAGACCCCAGGGGGGTCGTGGTAATGGACCAGGAGCATTGTGACAGTTTTTGTGGAACGAAGCAGAGGAAGATTATGAGCTTGGCTTTTGGCTGAAATTGGTCGCGGCAGCAAGCAAGCAAGCAGATACAGGTGGGACCTTGCAAGTGATCTTGCGAGGCTCCCTGTCATCAATACAAAATAGTAAAATTTTGAAAACAAATTCATGGCCTTTGACACGTGAAAGATGTGGTGGTCTGGTGCACTTTGGCCATTGAGCCGCACCAGGAAAGCCGCCGGCCGACTTCCCGAGTTGGTAGCTATGTGCTTCGATCAGCAGCCCTTTCTTCCCCAGGTTATTCTCGCCATGCCACGTGTAAGAAAGTCGGCTAATCGCAGACAAGTAAAGCCGCAAAGGCTGTCTAGTGGTTGTGTTCATCCGGAGTCTCTCCCGCTCGCCATGCCACATCTGCCCTAGGCTACATTCCAGTCCAACCTGGAGGAAACGAGCCAGGTTTTTTTTTCTTTTTCTTTTGTTGATGCCTATCCGATAGGTGGAACTCGTTTCGTTTTTGTTTTCTCGGTGTAAGAGCATGGTAGTAGTTGGTGATGCTGCGGCACTGCGTGATGGTCACCGACTGAGACAAGGCGATGAAGGGCCTAGAATCGTTACACCTGCCGCCCGACTATTGTTTTTTATGTAACCCCAAGATACAAAAGAAGGCTGACAAGCCCGTGCTGCTATGCTCGCTCACTGCTTTTGCATTGAGTCACACCTGCTACTTCTCACCGTCCCCTCCTCCCGCACGATGTACATGGCTGCAAAATGCAGCCGTATCTGGCCTCCCCCGACCGGCCAGCCCTGGGACAATAAAATGCAGGGTGGAGAGGCATTTTCCGAGACATGGGGCAGAAAGTGAACTTCGGCGGCACAGTCACCATTCACAGACCGAAGCTGAGAAGAGGGAAGCCGGCGACGGGGTGGTGGTGGTGATGTTCCGAGTCGGCGTTGCTTTTGGGGCTACGCAAGGAGGCGGACAGGCAACTCAGGTTCAACGCCGACTCGATTTTTTTGGTGCAACCGCCGAGTTTTTGAGTGACGGAGGGGAGTGATGGCAGGGAAACAGCTGCTCTTTGATGTCGCACTCGGAACCAGTAAACAGGCACGGCGGCTTACAGCAGCGTCGTCTGGGTATTTCAGGTTGGAACAACCCGTGTCGACTTGAGATCCATTTCGACTTCTGCAAAGGCAGCAGGGCTGAGACAGGACGACGTCATGGAAGATGCAGCAACATTGGCGCTGTGGCTTGCCTTTGTGCTACGGCGGACAAGGGTTAAAGATAAAGCACTCCAAAATTCTGCTGACAGAGGGAGTTGTCTTGTGGTTTGGCTTCCCCCCCGGCTCTGTGTCAACCACTTACAGGGAAGTTGTGACGACCAGTGAACGAGCTTGTGAAACAGGGCCTTGGCGGCACCTCGCGGTCGGAAAGACAGACAGATAGAGAGGGCTTAAGTCCCATGTGGTAAGTTACTGATAAACCGAACCAAATAATGGAGGTCAGGATGATGGACAAGCTAAAACGGAATGACGATGTGACAGTGACACGTGCGCTAAGATTCCGGGGGTGGGTGGAGGCGCGAAGATCTCATTTGCACCCTTGCGAGATGGGATGCCGATCCAACAAGGCAGCCAAAAGCCCGGCAGTTCGCCCAGACCCCTTGGCGATGAGGGACCTTGGTTGTAGGCGAGTGGTCGGTATGCAATAGTCATTGTAAAGATGGAAGGACCTGAAAATTACCATGAAGCACAGATCAGAATGGAAAAACTGAGAGCTGAAGAGAACAGTAGCAAGAGGACGGCGGAACAAACAACGTCAATCCTTGCCTTAGACTCTGTCAACTGCATCCCTCTTGCCAATAGAAAACAGGATTTGCTGGTTTCCAACTGTCTTACCCAGTAACCGGCCTCTCGAAGTGGTATTCGACGGAATCTGATGCCGGCCCAAGCGACCCTGTCAGTTTCGGAGCCGCGATCGACGTCATGTCAATTTCCCACTTCAGACGATCACTGCCCGGTTCATGCTGAGGCGCGTCGACTGACTCTTGTTCTTGCAGCTTTAGTGTGTTGGGGCACAACGAAAGACTTTGGAAGCAAATGTCTCGAAGAAAAGGGATCTCAAAGTCTCACTGAAGGGTTTGTGCCAACCCGCGGCAAGGCCCTGTTGGTCGGTTCGTGAACAGCTTCGGATTAAGTGGCCAAGGTGCTTATAACAGTCAATTGATGAACGATGCAATTCATCAAGAGCCATTCAAGGACCACAGGGTTCTCCACTCCCCAATACTCTGTAATATCAAGAAGTGCACGCTGCCGATCTCTTCAAATTAGAGAGTCCCCTCATGACATGGCCGAGTTCTTGATTGGCGGTCAAGAGCTCGGCTTTGCGCAGACTACTAGCCAAGGATGGGACGATATTCTAGCCAATTTTCCTTGCAATAAGAGAAGAATAGAAATGCAGTCAGGGGAAGTTGACTAGCAGCTTGCAAGTATAAGAAGACCATCTGCCCTCTCAGCAACACGTTTTTATCCTCCTCTCCCATCATCAATACCCAGTTCTACTTATTTTCATTTTCCAGTCACTCCTTTTATCATCCTCTTACAGGATACCACACTCCTTTTTTCACTCTTTATTCTTAATAAAAAAACAATCAACATGCGTTTCTCCGCCTCCCTCATTGCCCTTGTTGGCGTCGCCATGGCCGCGCCCGCCATCGTCCCTACCGGCGTCGCCGCTCCCGTCACCGGCCTCCTCGGCAGCACCGACCTCGTCAGCGAGCTGACGGGCGTCACCGACGAAGTTGAGAAAGGCAGCCTCGGCGCCGACGACCTCGAGCAGAAGCTCGACGCGATCCTGGGCTCGTCCCTCGTCAAGGTATGAGCCCCCTCCCCTCCGCTCTCATGAGATAAAGGGCGTGCTGACATGCCCCTCCCTAGGTCGAGTCGGCGCTTAATCAGCCGCTCGCGCAGAAGCTCCTCGCACTCGTGCAGGGCGGCCTCCCGCCGCAGGTCGTCCAGGCCGTCGGCCAGGGCATCGCGCTCGTCGAGCAGGGCGTGGCCATCCAGACCGTCGACGCGTACGTCAGGGGCATGACGGAGGGCCAGGTCAAGTCCCTCGGTGGCGCCCTCGGCGTTTCCGACATCCAAAAGGTCCTCCAGGGTTAGAGAGAAGCCTCGGAGCAAACATCCCCCGCTGGAAACAGAGGTAGTCGGGGCAATTTACCAAGTCTCTTTTCATCTACGACACGAATTGCAACCCGTCTTAGGAAAGGGGAGTTGAGACGGCTGGGGAATGACGAACTTGTAAATTATTTGAGAGTTTCGCTGTTTGGCTCTCAACGTGGGTTAGGAGCCTCTGGATGGAAAATTTCCTGCTCACCATGGCACTGGGGTGTTTTGCCATTTCACTTCTGGTTATTGGTATGGTAGCATAGCCATTATACATTTAGATGAACACATCGTCTTGATTTATCCGAGGAAATCTGTTCCCTATGCCAGGTGCAATGGTCGAGTCACGCATCTCGAAATCCCGGAGCTTGAGTAAACGCAACTCAACATCGTCGGGTATCATAAGCCCTTTTCATTCCGGTTGCTGCTGCGTGGCGCAGTGAATCCCACCACCGAGCTTCCGCAGAAAATCCAGCCGCACCTGGACGACCTTGCGATCCGGGAAGAGCCGCTGCAGAAGCATGAGTGCCCTCTCGTCCGCCTCCCGGTCTCCAAACCCCGGCATGACCAGCCCCCCGTTCACGAGCAGGTAGTTCAGATACGACAGGCACGTCTCGTACTCATCGCCGTCAAATCTGGCGGGATCGGCCTCCTCGAGCTCGACGACTTCGAGCCGTCTGCCCCTCGCATCCCGCTCCGCCGCCAGCACCCGCCTGTCATCCTCCCACGCGTCGATATACGCCCTGTTGGCCGTCTTCGCGGGGCGGTTCAGGATCACGCGCCCAGGTGCCGCGAACCGGGCCGTGGCGTCGATGTGGGCGTCCGTGATGTCCAGCCCCCTCAGGCCCTTGAGCCAGATGACCTTTTGCACCCCGAGGAGCGTCTTCAGGTGGCTTTCCAGCTGCTCCTTTGTCTGTCCGGGATTCCGGTTGTTGTTTATCACGGAGCTCTCCGTCACAAGCAGCGTTCCATCGCCATCGACCTCGATGCCGCCGCCTTCGGCGACGAGCGGAGCTTCCACGCGCTCCGTTTCGTCGTGGCCGAGGATGGACCGCGCAACTCTTTGGTCGGTGCCGGCGTACTTTGCACCCCAGTAGTTGAAGTTGAAGTCGATGCCCAAGACCTTGCCCTCTGCGTTCTTGACGTACACGGGACCCGTGTCACGAAGCCAGAGCTCGTTGACCTCCATTTCCTGGATGTCGATGGCGGACGAGAGCGACTGCTTCGCTCGAGCAATGTTCTGCGGTCGGCAGAGGAGTGTCACAGGCTCGAATTCGGCAATGGCGTTGGATATCGATGCAACGTCATGCTCAGCCCCTTCGAGCTCGCCGTCTCTCAAGGAGCCTTGGTCCGGCCAGGCGGTCAGGGTCCGTCGGTGGCGAGACCACTCGGCCGGCATGAATAGACCAGATTGAGAGGTCATTTTGGCGACTGAGGTAGGAGTCATGCAAATGATGGTGACAAAGTTTTCGAATATATCTTGAATGCCAACTCTCGGTGGATGGGACTTCCACGGAAGCTCTTTATAACCAGAGCAGTGTTTCACTGTGACGCCCCCAACTTATATCAGAGCGCGTGGGATCCCGGAGGATGGAATCGGCGGCCGCGGCAACCGTTCCATTGACCCATTTTGTTTATGAATCGAGCCTCTCATTTGCAACTAACTCTTGATCTTCAGGCAGCTCGGCCTAAGTTTCGCCCCATAGTTGTCGTCGTCGCAATTTGATGCTATTGGTCCTACTACTCGTTAGTTAAAGCCGCGTCAACCTAGCTGGGCTGAGCCATCCATCCATCGGCTCGCTCCGCACAGCCTCATTGGAGAAAACCAGTGCCGGCATCGTCGCATCGCATATTCCTTCCGACACACCCCAGCTTGGCCATTGCAAAAGGCCTGGTAAGCCTCCTGGAGTACAAGCATGCAAGCACAGCGACGTCTCAAACTCCGATCCCGCACCGGATGCTCCAGATGCAAGACCCGACACCAAAAGTGCGACGAGAAGCGGCCGCGATGCAGTCGATGTCGTGGGTCTGCCGCTACGTGCGTCTACAACAAGACCGAACGCAAGCCTGCAGCACCTCCGCGCCGCCAATCCTTCAGCCTTACGCGAGGCATTTCCAGCGGCTACAGCGCTTTCATATCCTTTAATGATCCTTCCCATAGCACCTTTCTAGACTATTTTCTGAGCAACGCCTCCGCAGCCATGTGCTGCCACGAGGCCATCCAGCAGGATACGTGCAGGGCTGTCGTCTCTGTCGGATCAGTCTTTCCCAGTCTTCTCTACTCGGCCCTGCTTTTCGGAGCGCTGCACAAGGCGTCGAGGATACACCGGGATGTCAGCCGGAAGGAGCTTGACATTCGCATAATGGAGCTGCGAGCTTCCGCATTGGCCTCGCTGCAGACGGAGCTGCATCACCGGCACCACGACACCAACGGTGCACCTGTCATTGCCACCACTCTCATGCTGGCCACCTGCGAGCTGCACTTTGACCCTGATGCCAGTTTTTGGCGAAGACATTTCGATTGCGCGAGCTTGTTGATGACAGGTTCGTGTCAAGGACGCCAAACTCCGACGGACAATACGGAGCTCTGGCGTCTAATATACAGGCTATTCTCGCTCATGGACTTCCTCATCTCGTTACCAGCCCCGCGTTCCGCGATGTCTTGTCCCATCACATGCGAAAGCCGCACCAAAGAACTGCCCTTGGTGGAGAGTGTCGGGGTGATTGACGGCAATCTGGCGTGCTCGCGAGACCTGCTTGTCGTTTTCAAGTGGATCAAGACGCTGGAGGATATTCGACAAGTCTCAGACCATGACGAGATATTGGACCTTGGGTTTGATTCTGAAGAGTATGTTATACGTACGGCATCACAATTAGTGGACATTGTGCATCGCATGATGGCACGAGATGAAACGACCCGTGCGATGCTTTCCCAGGACCTCACAGGACACTGTGATGAGGACCAGACCCAGGCATACAGAATAGCCAATTCTGTCGCGCATCACATTGCACTGATATATCTCCATCGACGCGGTCTAAGGATGGACCGGGAGGCAGACGTAGTCCGAGGCTCCGTTGACAGCATCATACGCCTCGCGGAGGCTATGCCGAAGCGCGAGGGTCTGCATCCCTCCATTGTACTGTCTACAGCCCTGTTTGTCGCTGGCTGTGAAGCGACAGGCGAGGCCCGAAGTGATATCAGATCGCTTTTGCAGATACAGTACGACATTACTGGGAACCAGGGTGCACATCGAACTTTGCAGAAGCTCGACGCACTATGGGAGCTCACGCTAGATGGGCCAGGGAATAGGCTCACTCAAACATTGCCAGTTGTTAATTTGGATAATTTTGTGCCTTACTAGCCGTAAGGGAGGATAAGTCACTTGTGTCAGGGTGCAATTGTCTCAAAGGGCTGACCGTCGGTCGCCGTGGATGCAGAAGAAGAGTCTACTCCGTCATCACATATAATTTTAGCTTTATTTCATGTAATTATCCCAGTTGCCTAATAATGTCTATCTTCATCCTATTCGCATCACCTAGGCGGCGGGCTGGTCATTTAGCAGCGCCCATCCAATGCCCACAGCACTTTACCCTGCACTAGTCACCGGCCAGCATTTCGGAGGAAATGGTTGTTGCAACTGGTACGCTGTGGCCAATGTTACCTGTTGATAGGGTTATCCCGTACTCAAGAATACAACACGGTACGGCTTGTTGCAGTTTTTATAGCGAACTCGTTGGTTGGGTCTCTGTTTCGGCTTTCCCGATAGCCCTGTTCAGTTTATCGGCAAAAACTAAATGCGCCGTTTTCTTTACAATGGCTCTCTAGGTCGAGCCTCAAGATTAATATCACATTTCTGGAAAATATTTCTATGCGCTATTTTTCAAAATACGTATATACTGTATTGTATGATAGAACATAAATAGGCTTCTTAATTACTGACGAAATTTACTTAAACTGGAGGTAGATCAACTTTTTCATCAGTGGGTCGATCTTGATTCCGCTGCTTTTGACGTCATAGTTGGGCTCCGACAGGATGCAGAGCGCGTGAGCGGTTTATTAACTCCCACACCCACAGATGTCGGCCATTTCCAAGTTAAGATCCATTTACACGATAGCATCTGCACAGGAAAACACGCAGAAGAACCGCCGCGATGAGCAGAGAACTCGGGCGGGAGGCGATGCGCGCCGCGGCCAGCTGCCGGCTACGTAAACAGGCCCCTACGTCGCCACCGCCGGGGTGTCTTGGGCTGCCGCAGGCCAGGCACGTCCACTCGTGTGCCTCCAGGAAAATGGCGACCGGAAAGGCTCGGGGCGCTTCTCGATATCGAAACAACGATAGGTCGGTCTACGATAGGAACTTTGCAAAGGTGGCGCGGGCGTCCACGGCCACCGTCTATCAGCGAGAAAAACCGCATGAGGCTGCCGCGGAGAAGGAAGCGGTATTCAACGAAGCCGAGGCTACCAAGGACATGGAATCGAAAGGTGTGCACATGGTTGTGAGAATCTGTCCACCGCTGCGCTCCCCATACTGATGCACAATCCCAGGACGTATCCTCACGACCCCGACGCGACTCCTCAAGCTTGTCCTCCCACTACCCTTCGATGCCCGGCAGGAACATATCAATAAGCAACCTCGGGAGAAGATAGAAGAGAACAAGCAGTCGACGCCCCCTTTGGCGTTGCTGATCCATCCACACCAACCATTATCATACCTCGAGCGTCTGATCCAGGCAGAGCTTCCGCCGCTGCAGCTGGAAAAGAAGGAAAAGACACCAGACGTTGATTTCTGGGCTGAAGTGGACAAGGAAGCCATTCCCGAGCAGACTGGTGCCAAGGCTAGTAATGTCGCCTCTTCGTCAGGTCTCGGGCACGAAGGCCCCGTCCACAGGAACAAGAGCTGGGTGAGATGGAGTGCCAGCACAGAAGTGGGAGACTTCATCCGCGATGCCGCGCGCGGCAAGGAGTTTGCTGTCGACATTGAAGGTGTTTCGGAGAAGCTGCATGTGGCTGTCCCCAGCTTCAAAGATCGCACGCACTATATGCGCATGAGGCTCCGCCGGATGTGCGAACAGATCGACGCCATGTCACGATTAAAAAATGAGTGCGACGAGCTTGCACACAAGGGCGCCTATCGCCTCGCCAAAGGCGGCTTCGGTCTGCTGGCCTCTTGGTGGGCCACGGTCTATTACGTCACGTTCCACACGGACATGGGATGGGATCTCGTCGAGCCGATCACCTATCTGGCCGGGCTCACGACCATCATGGCGGGCTACCTGTGGTTCCTGTTCATCAGCCGAGACCTGAGCTACAAGGCCGCCATGAACATCACCGTGTCGAAGCGGCAGAACGCGCTCTACATGGAGCGGGGGTTCAACATTGGCAAGTGGGAGCAGCTGGTGCAAGAGGCCAACGCGCTGCGACGCGAGCTCCGGATGATTGCGTCCGAGTACGACGTCGAGTGGGAGGAGATGAAGGACCTGGGCGGCTGGGAGGTGAAGGAGGCGCTGGAGAATGAAGACGAGAAGAAGAAGAAGAAGAAGCATGAGGACAGGGACGACGAGGATGACAAGAAGAGGAGAAAGAGAGACGCTGAACAGGAACGGCCGAAAGAACAGCATTGAACTCGTACAAGACACCATGTATCATTAGAATTGCATAGCCTTAGTTTTCACCTACCGGCTCGACGGGGGGCCACAAAGGACATCACGCAAGCTTTTTTTTCTTCATCATCACACGCTTGTATAGACCGCCCTGTCTCCACACTCACGATAACTCGAAAGGAATTGCCTAATCGCTTACTCAATTAGGTAGGCCCATGCTAGTGACGTCGAATAGCCCCATGTATCGGTTCGTCTTGCCAGTCCGGGTTCCTCCAAGGAGCAAATCTGCCGAGTAACAAAGATTTCTTCGACTGAACAGCTTCCATGTCCCCATTCCTCAGGCAGGATTACTGCAGTAGCCCCAGCCATCTGCCCTTGGATGACCCTGTCAGGTGCAGCTCGGTGGAGAAGTCAGTCAACATCGCAGCCAAGTCATCCAAGGGAGTTCGGGACGAGCCGCTGGGTCCTTGATTTAAATGAATTGTCCAATATCTATCAACTGATTATTTTGCATGAGACATAATTGGACAGACCTGTGGCACTACTGGCGAGCCGTGTTTACCGCGCCGCCGTTATTCCCTTTGCGACCCCGCCCCCGCTTTCAGACCTCAGGTGAGGTACGTACAAAGAAAGGTTAATAACCCTCAGTGGACGCAAACATTTGCTGGATGGCTCAAGCCTTTGTGTTTTCTTCTCTCTCATTAACCTCATGAAAATACTGTCGGACATCCGGAGGAGCTAATTCAACGTCCAACGCCCTCACAAAGCAGCCTCTGCGATGACGCCCGAGACTGTCTGTTTGCCTGATGGGCAGACGTACACCGTGAGCCCTGTGTTTGGTGGCGTGGCATTCAAGAGCAACGACCTCACCCACGGGACGCACTTCCCCGTCGGCTGGAACATCGCGCTGCACACAGAAGAAGAGAAGCTCGTCTTCGAGGATGGCTCTACGGCCCCCGTCAACGGCGAGGGCCACGGCGAAGCGGCCGGTCGCGGTGACGCCACTGCCATGGACACCACCGACGATGGCTCCGCGCCAAAGCGCAAGAAGCGCGTTCGACCATTCTCTCAGCCAACTAGGCAAAACGACACGCTATTCATCTCATCACTATCTACACCGTCGAGCCAGGAGTATGGCCCGCCTGCGAGCCCAACCCGCCAGATCGCCATGATCCTCTGGGTGAGTCTGTACTGGTACTTTCACCAACGCGAACCGTCGCCGCACATGAGCACGGAAGCCTCCCACGAGACGCCAGACTCCGCAAAGCCCATGGGAGAGTGGCGCATCACCATCCAGCGCGACGGCGTGCTGCGCGGTCGCAATCTGATCCCCAAGCTCGAGCGCATGGGCCTGCTCGCCACCCAGTCGACCGACGTCGGCACCAGTCTCGATGACAGCGACGAGACGTGGTCTCACATGTTTGTCTCCCAGCGCATGTTCTGGCAGCTGCCGCCGAACCTGTTCCTCTTCACCCTGAAGCCCGTCAAGGGCTCCTCGCCGTGGCCGGGCCTGGCCGCGTCCCCAAACACCAGCCGTCCGGGCTCTCCAGCGGCACAAGGCCCGGCGGCTCACTTCACTCCACGGGCGGCATCGCCGCAGCTGGGCGTCGCGAAGCTCTACAATGACCTGCCGGGAGCCCCCATCCCGACAAACCTCGCCGCGGGCGTGTCCACAGTGCACCCCATCACACCGTTCTTCTCGACATCGCACCTACCAACCTACTATCCGCCCCTCACGTTGCAGTACACATTCACGGGCAACTTGCGGCACCCGCTGCGACCAAAGCCGCCTCGCATGGGCGAGCTATTCTACTCCCGCTTCCTGCCGTCCGTCGGACGGTACCTTTCCTTCCGCGTAGCCTCTCTGTCGCCAGAGCCCGTGCCGTACTTTGGTCCGCTCGGCCCCAAGCCGCCGGACCGCCCGGAGCTCACTTCGCTTTCCGATGCGCAGCTTCTCGAGTCCTGGTTCGCGAAACCTCGCGTGGCCGCATTCTGGGGCAAGTTTACCCCCGAGTTCCTGCCCAATGCCCTCCAGTCGAACCACTCGTTCCCAGCCATCGGTCTCTGGGACGGCGTGCCGTTTGGATACTTTGAGATTTACTGGGTCAAGGAGGATATACTGGGCAAAGTGCTCGGCGGGGAGGCGGGAGACTTTGACAGAGGCTTGCACGTAATGGTAGGCGAGGAGTGGGCGCGGGGACGGGCGTCGGAGTGGATGACGAGCTTGGTTCATTGGTGCTTCACCACCGACATGCGAACGATGAACATTTGCTTGGAGCCAAGGATCGACAATGACAGGTATGTTTCCGGATGATTAATGCCGGCATCACTGTGAGGCAATTTTTGGCTAACTTGGCTACAGAATCCTTAAGCACTTGGATGAATCAGGTTTTGGTCGTGAGAGACAAATCTCATTCCCGCACAAACAGTCCTGGTATGTCCGGCTGCGACGCGAGACGTGGACAGGGCCGTTGTTGTAGCAAATGCGGGACAGCTCGGCCATCGCGGTGAGAAAATAATGAACGCGATAGACTATACACGAGAGTTGGCATGATTGAGGTCATCGGAGTAGCCCCCAAGATGAGGAGGTTGAATAATATTGCCTCATTGGCTGCAGCTAATAAAGCCAGACATGATTCACGAAACTGTGGCGAGTGCGGTGTGGCAATAGTAAAGAGTAAATATTAATAACGTAAAAAAGTTGAAATCGGGATATCTAACAAACGTATCTCCTGGCAACCTATAACCTGCAGCGTGCCTGGCCTTCGTGACCGCACATTTCCATCTTTAACCGTCATGGCAGCGTCACCAGTCAACCCAGATTCCCATTTCATCACTAACCAGGTTTTGCCAGATTCCGACCACGAGGGCCCGTAAATGTACAGTTTCCGCATATTTCTTTGCGCCATCTCGGCCGATTTCCCTTTGGCCGCGCATCGTTCCTTGCTTTTGTCAAGCACGTCGCACCGCCACAGCCTAGTGCCTGGTGATGGTGTGTGGCGAATGTGACGCCGGCACCACGAGAGCAATCTAGTGCGCGGAATAAATTCGCCGGGGGGGAAAGGGAAAAGGAAACAAGAAAAGGCAGAAAATAAAAATTTCAAGTGGGAAAAAATAGGGATAAAAATTTCAAGTGCATTATTTATTGGTACATCCCCTCCTCCCGTAGCTGTATCGTGCAGCTACGGCATGCGCAGCATGGGCAAACAGCGTTCTGTCGATCATGTCAGTGCACATGCAACGTCCTTGATTCCTCGGCGTGAATGGCAGGTTCTATAAACATGACTATATATTTTTCTCTCTTCTTTTATTTTTTTTTTCACGTTTCTTCTTCTAGCTGTCTTCTTCAACCCCGAAGCACATAGGAACTTGTTTCTTTTCGTTTTGGCTTTTTTGTTTTGCAACGGGCAAAGTCCGAGAACGCGTCCAGGCCAGCCCGAAGTCGCAAGCAAATGTATCTATCGCCTGCGTAGCGAAATAGAAAAAGACATGTCATCTTTGCCCGTTGCATTTTACTGCTGATACCTCCACAACCCGGGATAAGAGCCTCCCGCAGGGCTGCATCGGGTTGCCGTGCCCAGGCCATCGGTCCGATGACCAGCGGCTCCGCGTTCTAGCGCCAGCAGACGAGACCACGTGTGTACGAGGCGTGGTGGGAGCCCGGGCACTGGATAGGTGGCATATTAGCTCTGTGAATTCGATGCTGGGTTTGTTGGCTCGTCGTTTAACACGAAAAAGGTTCCGACTCGTTGTTCGCCGGCTCAAAGTTTACCCTCAAGGCTCGCGCCGTAGCGCGTATCGTTGGTGTTACTTTGTATGAAGAAAATAAGACGTGGCCTGGTTAAGATTCGCACGCCGTTGTAACCAAAAGCTTATATATATTCGTATTATTTAATTCAGAAATACTTGTGGTATAAAGAAGACTCATTTTCCTGCGGCTGTTTCGATACATCGTCTTCCCGATACCACCGCTGTCACCCATCAACCCATCACACAGAACTTCTCATCGTAACTATGAAGATCTCAACCGCCGTCGCAGTCATCGTGTATGCGAACTGCATAGCCGCCTTCGTAACCATTCCCAAGGACCTCGATGACGGCATCTACCAAGTCGAGCAGCCCGCCAGCCCCGACGACCAGCCCCTCATCAAGCGCATCGACAACCTCCCTCCCCCTCCCTCCGCCGCCGCCGCCGCCGCCACCGGCCCCTCCGCCCGCCTGCGCCGCAGCCCCAAGAAACCGGGCCCGAAGACGCCCTTCCGCATCGGCATGTTCGACACGACCCCCCTGCCCAAGTCCAAGGAGTTCTGCCGCAACGAGACGCACACCATGAGCCGCGCGGACCTGCACGCCGCCACCAACGAGCTCTTCTACACGCCGCTGTACTGGCTGCCCCCCAAGGCCGTGCGCTTCGCCCTCCACGGCTCCGCCGTCGCCTACATCTGCAACATCGGCGGGGGCTGGGAGCCCGCCTCGCTGGTCGAGTACATGGAGGCGACGCGCATGCTGGACGACCGGTGCCGCGTGCCCGGCACCGAGCAGGCGACCAAGGAGACGTGCGAGCAGCTGGAGCAGGTGCGCGCGGCGAAGTTGTCGGTGACGAGCCTGGAAAAGTTTTACGGAAGGGAGGTGCCGGGTGTGGCGATTTGCCGGTGGGAGACGGAAAAGGGCGGGTTGGAGAATAGGCTGCTGGAGGTGCAGAAGAATGGGTGCCGCAACTTTGTGTACCTGGGCATCGGGAGGAAGCTGAGCGGCGGCAAGGATTTGGACGAGTCGACGTGCGAGCGGAACGTGTCGGGGGAGTGGATGTGGGAGACGCTCAAGAGCCTGTTCCCGTGGTATACCAAGGATAGGACGGCGCACGTTTAGTGAAAGACTAAGCCGTGACTGAGAAGGGAGTTGGCGATGTTGGATTGCGGTACGTTAAAAAAACTGACATTGTCGACAAGGAGTTTTTCCTGATTTATTTAAAGCCTACTAGGAGAACGGGCTACCGTCAAGAAGGGAGTTGACGATTTCAGATTGCGGTGCGTAAAGACTCAACTGGTAAACATGTGGTTTTGCTGATTTGGTCATAGCTCCGTGAAAGAACGAGCGACTAAGAAGAGGAGAGCTGGCGATTTCAAATTCAGGCACGTAAAAGCTCGTGTTGATGACATGGACTTTTTTTTGGATTTATTGAAAGTATTAGTTGGGGATTGCAGAGTACAACTTGGTCTGCCGGGGGCTCTTACGGGGTTTGATCTACGTTGGCCGATATTTTGTAAGGTAGAGATGGTCGAAAACGAAGTATAATTAGAAGAGGAATTTTCTTTTGTTAGATGGCGAAGAAAGGTGTTAGCATGCCAAACCATGAGCGCGTGCCTCTCTGCAAGTGAAACACACGAAATCGGCAAGTCACAGGCTCTTCATCGCATTATGGTGACGTAGCGTACTGCTGGGCGCCTCTGCTGAGTACGGATGGCATCTGGAATGAGGGCTTCGCCTATGGTCTGCTGACAGAGCTCCCAACCCGGACGATGCGGCGAGTTGAAAATGGCTTCCTGCCTGCGATGTGTTTGGTGAGAAGTTTGGAGGGAGAGCCGATAAGCTTCGCGGGGGACCTACGATGTTAGTGGCACTTCGGTGTGCCCACTCCGAGTAATACAGTGGGCTCCTGGGGGGTGTCTGCAAGGCCCTGTGCCCTAAACCTAGAGGGAAGCTGAGAGCAAAGCTGGCAAGCCATTGGTTCAGTAGAGGTATTACTCTGGCCGCTGAAATGCCACTGTAAGCCTGCTGACTCCAGCCGCCACTGGAGTCACCATAGTGGTGGAACGGGGCGGTATAAGATCAGCACCACTAACTAGAGGAAGCAGCTCCCCAAAGTGGACGTTTCCATGACCAAAGCTCTGAAGCAGACGAGCTGCTATATGAGGAAGCTATATAGATACACCGAGTGGTGCACAAGAATGCGGTGAATGGCTGTCCTGGGAGGGCCGCCTGGGCGGATAGGATGAGGGTGGTGTAGGAGACGAAGAGATTAAAGTATAACGGTTGCTATTGTCTATTGAGGCGAGCTTGACCAAATGAAGTATTGTCAGCGAGCTCGCCACTGGCAACACATAGACACGATTGCTGACGCGACCGCCGTCAGCAGGCCCTATTACTAGAGGCCAGGTCATGGTCGAGGAGGCTTGGGGGCGATGACGACAAGGTGTCAGGAGGCTTGGGGGCGGGCAGAGGGAGGAAACAAATATGGGGGAGGGGCCAAGGTCAAGCAGGGCCAGGTGCACAAAAGTGCCAGAGAAGTGGCTAAGCAAAAGTCCATGTTGACATGCAAAAATTAGGAAATTTGCGTAATAATTATTTTTCGATGGTCTTGACGGTGTGCTTAGATGGGCAGTGACCTGCAGTCGAGTGAGTTGTTGAGGCAGGGTGGCCTAAATGAACGAAATGTACTGGTAATTTGTCTGTACACATTACAACATACTCCAGACACATTCGTGCAAGGAGGGATACGTTTCTTCTGGTATGGACACGTATGCGGCGGCGGCGGCGGCGGCGGCGGCGGTGCGCGACAGCAGCTGAATGCTGTCTCTGCTCAGCCAGGCGTCAAGGCCGTCGTGGACTGCAACCCTATCTGTCGCCCGAGGAAAAGAGGCGGCTCTCCCAAGCCCTGCCAGACTGTACTGTTTTGGGTTCTAAAATCCGGGGCCCCCCCCCAAACAATACGATGACTACGGTAAGGCCTTGTTGAAGGTGTGGCACTACATGAAGGCCCGTTTGTTGGCCATGCGCGTCGTCGTCTATGATTACACATCTGTGAGCAAACAAAGAAGAGGCTAAATTTCGTTGAAACTGGAGATGCCACTTCGTGGACAGCGCAGAACAAGGCAAGACAAAATCGTGAGCCGGGTGCCTTGTTGTGCGAGGATGCGAGAGCCAAGCCCGCCTGTCTCTCTCCCCACAAACAAGGCATCCTTCTACTCGCACGCCCCCTAGCCTGCTGTCATCTCTTCTCATCGCGCCTCTGTCACTGGGCTTTATCCGTAGGCGACCCAGTGACTTCATTCATAGTATAATAATAGTCATGGATGGGTTGGTCGTTGGATCGACGCGGCATTTGACATTGGAGGAATCATCAACTCCTCGGTCTCATGGCACCTGCATTTTTGGAACAGCCGAACCGACATCCGCGGCTTTCGCTATTGAACATTGCGATTAAAGCGCTCTGTGCGTATCAATACACACTGGGCTGACCACCTCGGAGTGGGCGGTGGAAGCCATTCAGATGGAAAATAGAGTTTCACCCAAGTTCAAATCTCGCCTAATACGGACAAACCCGGTACACGCACACCCCCCTTCTAGCTAGTCAGCCAGGCAAACCTGCTTCTTCCGATGAGATAAAAAAAAAACGCCCGATGGGTTGCCTGCTAGGCATCGATGCAACGTGTTGAACGAAAGGGTTGCCCAAGGTCGCCTGGGCTGCCTATGCGGCGGTGCCGTACTGTCCGCAGTCGGGTGTTTGTATTGGCGAGAGGTACGACAATAGGGCCTCGAAGCTGGCGCCAGACGGTGGAGATGACAAGTACCGAAATCGATGGCACGATGGTTATTTGGATGAATAGAGGCAAACCCGCCATTCATGGCCGCCGGTGGCGGTCACCTCCAGAGCTGTCTCTCCCACCACACCGGGCCGCCACCAGGCCGACTTGGAGGGGGGGTGTGCGCTCCGTTGGGTCCCGAGGCAGCAGTCAATATGACTCGGGCCGCCTCTTTATCGGTCTGGGGGCTTCACTGGGCGTCCTGACGGATGGATATATTATGACACGTTCCCTCCCCCCCTGGTCTTTAACTTTGATCTTCTCTTGTTGAATCATACAACATCAACATCAACATCAACTACATCATACCATATCAAAGCTTCCAACACCAGCTGGCTCTGGGACTCACATCACAAACATCAAACCAACTTCGTGTTCTTACTCCACGTCACCAACCAACCTTGCTACGCCACACACCCCTCCAACACACACACACTCATCACACTCACACACAACGCGCACACAAACCGAGACACCGCGACGAAATTTATCGGCTTCCGTCGCGCAAACGCTCTTGCAGACAGCACACCGCAACCTCGAATAATCTCAGCACCTAGCCATCAGGGCAAACAAAGCAGAACAAAGCCAAAATTAAAGGCAGGCTCACTTTGCCACACCGAGCCTACCCTGCAACCTCCCACGACAACAACAACAAGGAACCCCGCAATCCACTTACACAAGGACCCAAATCCTGGAGCGCCAATCTCGCCACCAGCGGCGTCACACAAATCCTGCCCCCAGGACCACTCATAACAAGGCTCCTCCCCAGCCGGAAAGCAGTAGCAGCAGCAGCAGCAACTCTACTCCGCCTCAGCATCATCATCATCATCATCACCACCACCACCATCAGACGGCGACCGAGCAGCCATCTGCATCGTCTCCGTCCCTTCTCACCACCTCCACCACCACAACCAACAACACCACCAACAACAACAAGATGACTCCCAACTCCACAACCGCGACCGCCGCCTCCGAGGCCACCACATACTACCTCCTCCCCGACCTGCGCGCCATCGACCCCGGCGCTGCCGAGCTCGACCTCGCCGCGCACGCCTGGGTCTGCCCCATCGTCATCGAGGACGAGGACCTCATGTTTGGCGGCAAGTCCCTGAGCGCGCTGTACGAGGAGGAGCGCCGCCGGCGGAGCTCCGGCGGCGGCAGCATCGCCGGCAACAGCAGCAGCGACGAGGAGTCGCTCTGCGGCGACGAGGAGGAGCGCGGGGAGGAGCAGGGGCGCCGCGGGAGGGAGCGCGTGCGACGACGCTACGTCCCGGCCAAGTCGCACCGCAAGTAGTCCTACCCTCTCATCACACCCGCTCTCATGGTCGTGCGCAGCCAGATGACGCCTCCTCCTCTGTTAGATCGATGCATTTGTTTTTTTCCCGGTGTTGGTTTTAAAGGCATTGCATCTTACGACTTGCTGCCTAGCATAGAAGAGCGCCTCATTGTCGACTCTTCGCCTCACGGCGTTTAGATGGATCCTCATTACTTTTTGTCCAGGTTACACTTGTTCTAGCTACGGCCTCGTGTTTTTTTGTTCGCTACGAATTTGACGAATCATCATTTTTCATCACATATTTTGGCTTGGTTTAGGGGGACCCTGACTACAGTTTGCTTTCGATTCTTACCACCCCTCTCTTCTTGTCGGTTTGGACACGGATGGGGGGTCTTTTCTTTCTCCCTCTTCACAGACCAGGGGCCTTTTCTTTATCTTAAACATCTTGAGCGCTTCAGATTAGCTCGACTGAATGGCAGAAATACCATGTAAATTTTTATCCTCCACAAACACCAGTCCCATAACCATGACCGTGATTGTCCCCTACTGAACGCTTGACTCAAGCACTTCACCGCCAGTCTCGGTGTTGCCGAGCAATGGACCCCCCAGCATTTGACGATGCGGAAACCCGACCGGTAAAATTCTCGTGGCACACTTTTGCGAGGAGGGTGTGCCAGCAACTGACACATTTTCGTGGCCGGCTTCCTCCAAGTCCCCCCGCACTCGTCAACGGCCGAGGCCAGGGCAAACGACTCAGTCGATGCCCCCCGGCGTCGGGCACCTTCGGAGCTCCATGTGGGGCCGGGCCCAAGCGGCGTCGCGCCGGCGCATGTGAAAACGGTGGTGGTGGGTGGCGCGATGACTCGCGCGCGAAGCGAGTTGCGTTGCGGGAGGGTGTGCGGGGAAAGCTTTGCGGTTTCATCGCTTCGGCGGGCGCTGGTTATCTCTCTCGGCTGTTGGACTTACAGGTTGGTGGTTGGTCGCTTTGATGCGGGCGGTCTATCTATGGGCGGTCTTTCTGCGGGCGGTGATTCTGGTAGCGTCGGCCGAGAGCCCGTAGGAGGTGGTCGAGGCAAACAACGCAAACGACTCTAGCTATACACCGTGGTAGAGGTTAGGAGCGAAGGTCGGCAACTTCGATCAGTGGCTTGGGATCATTCCCTCGTTTCCGCCAAATGTGGCATGTGAGCTAGCCGACGCGTCTGTTTCCTGTAGTTACCATCACGACGCCTTTCGTCTCAAGCTGTTCCCTTACTTCCACTTCTAGAGAAAGGGACCATAGTTTCGGGGCGGTTCTCATATCTCATAATTTGCAAGCTATATATAGAGCACCTTTTTCATCTTGCGATTGGGTCCACTCCTGCAGTTAAGCGCCAGGAAGGCTACTTGTGGAATGAGGTAGACAGAGACGTCTAGTGAACATTCGATTCAATTTCGGTAAAGTTACATTTCTATATCAAATCGGCGCATGCCTTGAGGACTTCTCGAATCCCGATTTACATCACAGAATCACGTTACCAGCTGCTGGACAAAAGCTGCACTTGTTGCACTGGGCCTCGCCATGTGTCGAGACGCTCGCGGTTGGCTCGGCTGGTTGGTGGTGTGTGGTGTACTTGAAACCTGGCAAGGCCGTCCTGAACCTGTCAGCCCCTTCCCTTCTCCGTATCGAGCCACCATACTAATAATAATAGAAACTCTGGTCAATTTTCGGCGTGGAAATCCCATGTCGATTTTAAGGCTGCGTATTATTATCGCCGAATTGACGGAGCGTATCGTGCAGAAATGGACCAGAATACGCGCCGCGGCTATATCGACTCCATGGATTGTTGGGCGTGATTTGCCCTGCAACGTGTAAGAGCTGAGGAGAGTTTAACTGTATCCGCAAGTTCTGACTGCGAAATAATTGCATACTGCATGGCCTATTCTGCAGTCAGACGCCGAAGTGGATCGTTAATGGTTGGATACGGTAGGCTGCTGTGGCGACACTCTGGCGGCAATGGGATATGTATGGTATTCTCCTGCGTCAGGGTTCAAGCCTTTCAGTTTCACTAACTCCGGTCTCAGGCTATAAGTACGGCGTAGTACGTGGCGTCTATCCTGCTGTTGTCGTTAACCTCGAAGAATCATAGGCCCAAGCATTCCATTTTGATAGTTACGCCATGCCGTCTGACAAACCTCGACTCTATCTCGCCCTCTATGCCCGGGGAGGCCCAGGGTAAGTATCAGCTAGGACGCGCCGCTAGTTATACGATGCACCCTCTTATTCAAAATGACTCCAGCTATCATTAGGCTCTCCTAGTTGGGCCCAAAAAGGAAACTACAGAGACAAGAGGCATGCGCTACCACGCCAAGCAGCATCACATGGTGTGGCGGTACGATGAGGTAGATATTGCAACCGCGGCCACCAACATGATCTTGATCCGCGTCCTCGCCGCCAAAGTCCAGGACAACGACCGTCTCCAGGCAATTATGCGCAGCGTCCCCGTCCGGCCTGACGTGCCTGGGTGGACATGCCGCTCTCGGGTTACTGAAGCGTACGCGAAGCTGAAGGCCGATGGGAAAGCTCTGGGTCCATGCCCTGACTGGGAGACGCTCAGCGAGACTGCGCTTTGGTATGTGAGCAAAAAGGCGGAGGAGCATCGGTTTGATGGCAAGGCAGAGCCTGGGAAATACAGCGACTGGGAGGTGGCTACCTGGAGCATTGGCGAGGGGCGGGAGACCATTGCGTGAACCACCAGCTGCAGCCCCGGGCCTAGGCCAGTTACCGGGTTGTCGATCTGGCTTTTCGCGGGGGAGCGAGTAGCTTAGGCAGGATACTACCAGCTTTGGCTAGTTGTTATGGAATGACTTTATGTCTCGCCTGGTTCTGGCGACTGCATGTCTCGAAGCTTAACATACAAAGTATTGGACAATCTCGGCTCAAGCCCCGCCACATCAAGTAGATCCGATCCATAAAACCAGCGAGCGATGTTGAGCCACAAGCCGGCGTTGAATCGAGGTAGCTCGCCCACGGTAGTTCAATAGTCTCCGTTGTATTTTCGTCGTATTTCCTCCATTTCCAGAGCCTCTGGGAACGGTTCGAGAAACTTGTTGACTTCTGCCTGCCAGAATTGATTCTGCGGGTTCACGTTCCAGGCGTTCGTATACTCCCAATACTGCGGCATCCATGCTGCCGTTTCCCAGTCAACTATTCCAACGACGTCATCGCCTCGGGCTAGGATGTTCAAAGAGCTAAGATCTCCATGTGAAAATACGGGAGACGGCCAAGACCTTTGGTGGAATGCGAGGAGGCTACTGAATCCTGGTAAGGGGACGCCTTCATACTCTGGCTCGTCCACATCCCCGCGGAGGTGCCGATGAAAGTCATCGATAGTGGCAAATGGCCCCCAACCAGGTTTCTTCGGCCCTGGCAATCTTTGGTCGTATATAGATCCCCCATCAACGTTGGATACCCCGCATCCTATCGGGGCTGGTATTCGGCGAATCTGGAGTACCATGTCTCGCAGGCTGGTGAGGATACGACTTTGCGATTCTGCTGAGCGTTGATACCATCCCCGGGATAGCATTTCACCGTCAATACATTCCATGACGATGTATGCCTGACCTTTATGCTCAAACGCACTATACACTTCGGGGACTGGCACGGTCGTGTTTTCCCGCACGAATCGCATGGCAGACGCTTCAGCCAGTGACGTGAAGTAGGTCGACTTGACGCAGACCTTTTGAGTGATGAATATGACGGGACCTCGCCGTTTGAAGAGGCGCTGGAGTTGCAGCCATTGGATGGAGAGGAGCTTGTATAAGCAAATCACGGCCCAGCGCACGAAGAAGCCATCGTTGATTGGCGCGGACCGCGAAGCAACTGGAACGAGCCCCATGTATAGCGGCCCAGAAGCTCGCTACAATCGTCGATGGAAAATACGACCAGGGCTGGCGAGTATACGAAAAGAGCGTGCGAGAAGACTGCAGGAATTGACACTGTCGGATGGATCATGTCATAAACCAAGGATGGGCGCGTGATGCCATCGCGAAGAGACACCCCCTGTGTTTGTGATGACTAAGCGGCCCGTGTGTTTAGAACAGATTATCTCACCCCGCTTGGCAATTGTTCTGGGGGACCTCTTTTTTTCTTTTGTCGCGAAAAATGCGTCCATACCGAGAATACTAAATACTATATCCACGATTCAATTACGACAATAATAAGACAGCCATCTCGGGCATCGCCGTGCAATCCACGATCACTGGAGTGGAGAAGCTGGGCACGCACAGTCGATTGGACGGAACTCGCACGTCAAACCACCTGCGCATGTAAGACCGCCACCAGGATGCAGTCATCCGTTCATCCAGCAGTTCATCACTCGCATTTTTTAGATACAGCTTATACTTTCAAGACAGCATTTCATCCATGTAACCTACAAATGTGCTTGTACACTGCTGCAAGTGGCTGCGTCGTCTCACCAGGTGAATACGAAGCTGCTTTGTGTTGCAGTCGGTCGTATTCTCGTCCTATTTACTTTTTCCTTTGCAATCGGCAGGTCCCAGAATCAGAGTTTTGTTGCGCGTCCCTGGCCGCATTTGGAGTTCGGGCCGTGAGGGCGGCATTCCCGCTGTCCCAACTCAATGTTACCCTTTGCGCAGCACAACCACATCAACCCATTCGTGCAGGAGAAGCTTGGGAACCACCGTCCAAACTTTTGGCCGGTCTTGGTGCGCTTTGCGGGCTTTGCGGCACCAAACTCGTCACAATCACAGTAGCAACGCCGCTGGGTAGTTAGTTACAGTGGTTCTGACCCACGCAGAATGGCTTGGACTTTGGTACCGATTTAGACGGCGATGGCAGGCCCAGATTTGTGATCTACTAGGGCGGCCTTTCTTAGTGTACTTTGCACTGGACCAAGTAACCTAACTATTCCCTGATCAGCAAGTGGATTGATTATGCAGCTGCAATGAAGATGCTGCCTGCCAGACGCGCATAGACACACAGGAAACATCTGTGCTTTCACAACAGCAGCTGTTCGTCCGATACTTTGACAAAACTGCCTGATTGTTCGAAAATACGGCAGCCCTTGAATTTTGTGAGCTGCTGATTGGGGGGCCTTCTCAGTATGACTGTGCCAACAAGGTTGTCGAGTTACATCGCACGCGAACCACACACACTGTCTCAGTGATAATCCTATTCGTCATTCAATATTTAGCAAGCGTATTTCCGGTGACATTCACGGCATTTACAACCTCTTCTTTGAAAAAAAAAAAAATCTCCTGCGGCTTGCGCAGCTTTTCTCCAAAAAAAAAAAACGCTACTCAACGCCTTTCCAGCATTCCAGACGGGTCGATCGAGCTCGTTGGGCATCGCTAGAGAGAGTTTGGGATAAGCTCGACGCGAAACCCCCGATATAGTTTTTTTCCCGGAACGTTTACTACGTTTGAGGTGGGACAGGGTATCCCGCACCCGTAGAAGCCGAGAAGTGAAACATGCCACCAGAGCAATTGAGTGGTGCGCTGGCCATCACGTCGTCGGCCACCCCCTATCATGATCATGCCGCCGAGTTACATAAACTGCCTAATAAACTGCCTCGTAGTTGTCGAGTCTTGGCCTTTTGAACAACGCCGCCCAGCCACGTCATGTTACCTGGTCGGCATTGGGCCCGCAAAATCCGGCAGGCCTATTCCCTGCATCGGCGTCATTGGGGCCCAGGATAACTTCTCTCCGATGTGGTGAGCCAATCAGACCCTCCTGCAACGGCGGTCTGGTATGTTGAGCCATGATATTCGTACAGATTAGTTGGCTTCTGAATCGACTACCCAATGACAATCACAACTAGTGGTGGGAAGTGCGGCCCGGGGCCTCTTTTTCCGTCCCGTTGACAGTGTTTTACTTTTTTGACATGCCATCTTGTTTATTTGCCGAGATGCTTGTGCCCGCCCCCCCTCCCCTGATTCTTTATGTGTGTCTGTAAACCTCGCCCAGCCTTTTGTCTGCAGCCACGTACAACGGCAACTATAACTCACTCTGACTGGCGTACAAGAAAACCTTGTCACTCCCCAACGTCTGTATCCTTAGGACTGACTGACTGTCCCGCCCTCCATACCTATAGAAAGCTTGTTTCTTTATAAGCATCCTGATGTGTCTCCCTATGGACACTTCAATTTTTAGTCGATCGACATGGAGCTTGTCTGCCAGTCTCTCCACTTGGTGCTGTCCACGGTGAGGCCTGGCCTGGTTTAGGTGCGCCGAGGACCGCAGCAGTCTACCCAACCCTGCGCTCAGATTAATAGCTAGCATGTTGAATTATTGCATCTTTGGCCCCCTCTTCTTCATCACGCACTTGCCTCGAAAGCCGAAGAGGTTGTGGCTGGCCCACTTTGGGTAAGACATCGGATCGGCACTGCGGTCGGCCCAAGCGAGTCAGAAAGAGGAAGTATTCGCTGTAGAGCAAGTCTCGTTTCTGATCGGTGTAGTCGTGCTCGTGCTCGGGCTCATGATGTATAAGTAGAGAGGCCCTCCCTCGCGCGGCAGCTAGGCCCTCCCATAGAATTTCCTCTCCGATCACGAATACTCCGAATTTTGCATACCCTTCAACGTCTTGTCTGTTGGGCCTCCTGTTCGATCTCCCTACCAGTCACAAACATACACAATCATCCATCACCTCAGCATACGTCATGTCCATCGACGCGCAGGCTCCTCGTCGCTCACCCTCCCTCTCCTCCTTTGCCTCGACCGGTAGTTCATGGAGTGACCTTGACAACACCACCACCGGCACCAGTCACAGCTTCGTCGGAAGCATCCCCGTCGTCGCCGACGCCGCCAACCGCCACCGCTGTCCGTCTCCGGAGTGCCCGCTCCTCAGGGACCGCCAGAGTAGCGTCTCCTCCGTCCGCAGCTGCGAGGACATGAGCGCCGACAAGACGCAGGAGCTGTGGTTCTGCATGCTGGAGCTGCAGGAGCGCTACGGCTGCTACAACTCGACCCGCATCGACCTCGCGCTCGGCGCGGGTGAGCAGGCCGTCAACTTCATGCGTAAGTGGGAAGCGAGATGGCCGTGTTGTGAGCTGCCGACGGTCGCTAACTTGGAAATTGTTGCAGCCAACCGCTTCATCATCGACACGCTCAACAACTCGCTCCGTGATTTGCCCGACGAAGGCTGGAAGAAGCTGTACAGCTGCCTGGATGAGCACCCGAAAAATGAAAAGCCGAAGCCGAAACGCAAGTTTTGGTCCAAGGTTTGATGAGATGGGTTGAATAAGAGGACCATCACCACCCATCACAGCGGCAAAGCCTAGGCAGGCACCTTGTTATTATATTAATCCCTACTTATGGAGTGTATGAAGCGATGGAAAAGTTCAGACGAGACATGTCATATGGGAGATCATTTGGAACTGGGGGTTCATCTACAGACATCAGACTGCTGGAGGATCATGATATTAGAGGCGTTGGGTTGGAGCGGGCGTGTTTTTAATACCACTGGTAGTTTTTCAGAATTGTGTATGAATTAATCGGTTTCAAACTGATTGTGCAAGCCGAACCTGAGTTTATGGTTGCCGGTGTCTAGTAGCCAGTCCCAAGCACATAGACAGTCTATCGCACATGGAACGGGAAGCCAGTGTCTGTTGGCCTCGTGTTGGACCGAGGCGCCCCCAGCGCATCAGCCTTGCACTCCCCTCGGGTGGCGTCATCAAGAGTCGTCTCGGCAATAAACACGTGTCGACCGCGCAGCAAGCAGCCGTTGAGCTGTGGATGTTGTCGATCAACTACACCATCGATATTGACAACAGCTGTTCAAGGATCTGTTGATTGAGGCTGATCTAATGCCCGAAATGCAGCGCGTCCACTTCCAATTTGGCAAAGACAAGAGCGAGCGCTTATGGCGTTATGACGAAGGGCGTATTCCCGTAACGAGTGACACAGCCCTGGCTATATTATTGGAGTGTATTGCATGTGCCGGCGTTGAAGGGCTTGTGGCGGCGCCAACTCATGCCTAATCACCCATCCGCCGCTGCTGTGGCTCATCATTTCTGAGTCACTGGCACACCGTTTTAAAGAAGCATCTCTGCTGAGTACATTTGGCTTCCCCTTGACCTCCCCAAGCTTGTGAAGGTCGGATCCGAGGTTGGCGCCGACCCCTCACCAGGTCTTGATCGTCGCCGGACGATGATCGACAGCGGGGTTGTGCACAGACGAACTAACAGAGCGTCCGATGTCGCTGGCCAAACTCAGTGGTGAGAAGCATCGTGAACTGTGATAAGAAGCCGAATAAAATCATTCTTATTAAGTTGATAAAAAGTTTCTAATTTGGTGTAGTTCAAGTTCGGTGGTGAAACATTCGGGTCGGCCAACAGGAGCTGCGACTCCTAATGCCTCCGCATCCCCCACGGGGCGTATCAAAGTCATCCAGGCCCAGGTCACAGTGAAAAAATCCGCGAAATAATCTTCTTGAATGAATTAAACCAATAACAATTGGTTGAGTTCCTTCCCCGATGATTCACCCTGGCCGTCGACTACTACAGGGTAGCGTGCTGTGGCCGTTGGAACGCCGCGAAATGACGAGCCAGCCGACTTAGAAACAGAAGGAATATAATGAAAATACACATAATAAGGTAGTTAGGGTAATTAGGATAATTACACAAAGTATAGCTAATAATAGCCGAGATAATAGAGTGAATTGTTCACCTGTTAGGGATATAAAAAGGTGGCTAAAAATATGACAAGAAAACGCAGCTTGCCGCAAGGTTTTTTTTTTTTTTCAGAATATATGAGCGATGCATCCTGCGGACTCGAGCCATCTTGGATTAAAGTTTTGTTGACCTTTATTTTTTCGTTTTAGATATGTTTGGGGCTTTCTGACGTCCATTGTGTGTACGGAATTTAGGCCGCGCTTTGGTGCATGAGTAGCAGATTTTCCCAACGATACGTCAGGTCTTCTAGTCTGTACAGGAGACATAAACATTTCGATGTTTTTTATTTATTCTAAAGAGGAATCACGTTGTTTCCTGCAATTAATTTGCATGAATATTTGGTGTATATAGCCTGTGGGTGGCAGAGTTGTATTACCCGGCGCAGTATGAGCCCAACTAATAACCTACCTAATGCTAAGACGGAGTTAAGGTACCTGCGTACATACATACATACAGTACATAGCATGCCCAGTGTCTTTCTTCCCTACCTGCAGGAGAGTGCCTGTCAGCAATGCCACTGTAGCCTGATGATTTAGAGGATATCATCTGACTCCCTAAGCCTTCGGCCATTCGGTGTGCTCCGCTACCCGCTGAAGGATTGCCGGCAGGGTGCCTGGCAGCGAAGATGGGTGGTGATGGGTACCTACCAAAAGGATCAGAGCAAGAACGGTCGGGGATAGCGGCCCCCCATTTGGAGGAGGTGTCTTAGTCGAGGCACCTACTGGGTACGTATGTGGACTTCTCCAGGAAATCTGATATCATCAGCGCCGCTTCCGTAAACTGTCAGTTGCAAGGTTGGCGCCATTCCGAAAATGTGGCTTCATGTTGGAGGGCTGAGGGCCGCCTCATCCGCCTCCATACCTGCAAGCCAGCCATTATCACGTCACCATCACGCCGCAGGTCAGTTTAACGTTTGATTTATTATGCGGACCACGTCTCGTTTGACTCGACAATTCTACAAAAATGCATCCTAAAATTTACCCCGACGAGGCCTAGAGAACTGCGCTGTGGCCATGAATTGCACTGTTTGTATACCGGAAATCAAAGAGGTTCTGCTACTTACGCCATGTAGGAACTCTTCATCGGAATTTCCGCCGTGCGTACGGATCGCGGTTGTGATGTCGCTATAGCGATTCGCGATGCAGTATATCTCATAGATATTATCACCTGGTCGAGTGCCGGAGGCAACGCGGATGCGATTGTCGGCGAGATTATCGGGACCCTGCGTATGTACAACCAGAAACATAACACCAAGATTCTTGGCGCTGGAATCCCTCTGCTCGTTTCTCAAAACCATCTTCTTCTCAGCTCACGTCTGTGGCGCGAACTCGACATTGTGCCATTCGTGATTCCTCGTCGTTCCGACAGGTGGAGCAGCAAGAACAATGACGAACAGGCCGAGTCCATGGCTCGAAAATGCATCACGTAGGTCATTGCGGCATATGTATGATTGATGCTAATCGTGCTAGATACTTTGGCCCTTCGGCCACCCCGGCGCTGCAGGTAGGCTGGCACGGCGAGGTGGACGTCACCGCTGGGGGACGCATCTGTCTCAGCGCCCTCGAAGATTACCGCAAGATTTGCTCCGAGATGTCCTGGGAGACTCTGAAATTCTACGCGGACAAGCTGAAAGTCAACGGTACCAAGGTGGCATTCTTCAGCGCCACACCGCAAGGGGGAGGCGTTGCCCTCATGAGGCACGCACTCATTCGCCTCGCAGCCCTGGTTGGCCTGGATGTCAAGTGGTATGGTGCGTCTCACCGTCTTCATTCGCTTTTGTTGAACGACTCTTACATCAGGCAGTCCCCAAGCCCCGAGCAAATGTCTTTCGCATCACCAAGAATATGCACAACGTCTTGCAAGGTGTGGCTGCGCCGGACCAGCACATCCCTCCTGAGGATCTGGCTGCCGTGATCCAATGGGACAGGGACAATGCGAAGTTGTACTGGTCCGATGAAGGAGGCCCTCTGCAATCTCCGGAGGATGGCGGTGCCGATGTAATTATCGTACGTTGTCGACACGTGTCTACACTCCTGCGGCTGACTGAAGTTCTCAGGTTGATGACCCTCAAATGATTGCTCTAGTCCCTATTGCCAAGAAGGCATGCAAGGAACGTCCCGTGCTTTTCCGCTTGCACATTCAGGTCAGAAGCGATCTCGTTGCTACGCCCGGGACTCCTCAGGCGGGGGTCTGGGACTTCATCTGGAGTCACATCCGAGAGGCAGATGCGTTTATTACCCACCCGATCTCGACATTTGCGCCGCAGGATGTCCCGCGAGAGAAACTGTTCTACCTGCCTGCAACGAGTGATTGGTAAGTCAATCCTCTCCATTCATGACGAGGCTGATCAACTAGGCTCGACGGATTGAACAAGGGCTTGAGTGACTGGGATACTCGTTACTACATGCACAAGTATAATACCCAGTGCTATGCACAAGGCATGGCAGGTCTGGACTGGCCTCTTGATAATCGTACGCACGCTGGCAGTACAACCACTGGCACTGGAATCGAAATGTTGATGACGTACTAGGCAAATACGTGATCCAAGTAGCCCGCTTCGACCCTTCGAAAGGGATCCCGATAGTTATTGACGCGTATGCCGAGTCCCGCCGGTTGTTCACCGACAAGCGATCGAAGCCGCCGCAGCTCGTGCTGTACGTATTAACAACCGACGCTCGACCGCAAGCCATGCTAACCAACCCAGCTGCGGAAATGGATCGATTGACGACCCCGATGGCACGACCGTCTACAGCGAGGCCGTGCACAAGATCAAGACGGAGTACCCGAGCCTCGAGGGGGACATTAGCGTCATGCGCCTCGCGGCCGGTGACCAGCTCCTCAACGTGCTCCTGGCCAACGCCCACGTGGTCCTGCAACTATCGACGGTGGAGGGCTTCGAGGTGAAGGTGACGGAGGCGCTCCATGCCGGGCGCCCCGTCATCGGATCCCGCGTCGGCGGGATACCGCTGCAGATCGAGCATGGGCTGAACGGATACCTCGTCGAGCCTGGTGACTGGAAGACGGCCGGGGCGCGTCTCGCGGCGCTCTTGGCGGATGACAAGCTTCACGCTGAAATGGGCGCCGCGGCCAGGGCTAACATCAGTGACGAGGTGAGCACTGTTGGGAATGCGATTGCCTGGTGCTTTCTGGCAAGCGGCTTCACAAGCGGCCAGCAGCATGGCAATGGACAATGGGTGAGCGACCTTGCGAGAGAGGCGGCTGGCAAGCCTTATGAAAAGGGTGAGAATCGTTTGCCTCGTAGCCTGGCCGCCTAGCGCATGGGTCAGGATTCGGTGCCAGGGCTACATAGCTACCTAGAGGGTGTCTGGCTGAGCTGATTCTATGAGGCTGTATCCCACTCAAATTGACTACCTGCTATCCAAGGCTTCGAAAGTCGAGCGCACGGCGGTGGAGCTGTGGACGCCTAAATCCGTTCGGATGAAGACGTTGCTGGCCGTGTTGGTGTCAGGAGAACATCCACGCTCCTTGCAGATATGATTGTCTAGAAGCTTCTTGTACCTCAGCTTGATGGAGTTTTCCCTTGTCAGCGCATATGCGGTTCGAATCGCACCAACAGCTTCCGTGGCGAACTGGGAGCTTTCCATGAAAACAGCTGTGTTCATTTGGTCAAGCTGGACCTCGTGCCTGTACTTCCAGTAACCTGAAGCGGTCATGATGGGCATGGTGACAAACAAGGCAACTAATCCCAGTTCCCAAGCGAAGAAGAGAGCCAATATGACGCAACCAATGATGGTGAAGCATTCTGAGAGCAGGAAGCCTAGGTTCATTCCAAGAAGCTCTTCAAAGCTGCTTAGCATCACTTGCTATCCGGAAACTGAGTGTACCGTGCCAATTATCGTCTTCATAAAAAAAAAACATCCGCTGGTGCATGATATCTGTAAGATCATCGATCTTGTACACTGCACTGATGTATTGTTGAAGATAGACGCCGGTCCAGCCCAACAAAAGATAGGAAAAGCTGACCCAAGAAGCCAATGCAACCCACATTAGACCCCAAAAGTTTGCTCTGTCGCTGACATTATCCGAGAGGAAAACACCGAGGAGTTGGGCAAAGAGCCAGGCTTGAATGGGAGTGCCTGCTGCCACAGCCATAGATGATAGAGCAATGCATAGATAGAAGATCCATCTAGCTCGTTGCTGCTTCAAGAGTAATCCGAAGCTATGCACGACGCCGTGGGGATTCGTGCTCATGTTCGAGGCATTTTCATCGCCTGGTGTTTCTTTTTGGCCGGACCGGTTGGATTCGCCATCCATCGTTCTCGATCCAGCGTCTGGCGTCCTCACGACCGGAACGAATTCATTTCCCAAGGGCACGTGCAATGACTAACTCTGCACCCAAGAATTATATACGCCGGATGATGCTATCAGACTTTGGTGCGTACCTTGCTCAACCGCCTGACCGTGTTGCAAGACGATGATGTGGTCGGCCTCCCTGATGGTCGATAGACGGTGAGCAATTGTGATCGTAGTACGGTTCTTTGTGACTCTGTCGAGGGTAGCCTGAACTATCTTCTCGTTTTTTGAATCGATTGCACTTGTTGCTTCATCGAGGATGACACTTTGGGGGTACTTGATGATGCTTCTGGGGATAGCCAAACGTTGTTTCTGACCGCCCGATAATTTCACACCCCCATCGCCCACTCGAGTATCATATCCCTGTAGGGGCTGTCAGAAAGGCCACTGATAGGCACTATTGAATTAGTGTGAAGAGGATGTCTTACCTCGGGCAGACGACTTATAAGGTCATGCGCAAGACTTCATGACATGCCTCCATAACTCGCTTTTGCTGTAGTTCGGCTGCTTCATTCTGCCACACAGTTCCTGTAAGACTGTTTGTCGCATTGTTGTAAATGGTGTCGTTGAAAAGAAAGGGCTCCTGCTGTACCAGGCCAATCTGCGTCCTCCACCAGTGCAAATCGAGGTCTTCTATGTTGTGGCCGCCAATCGTAATAGATCCGGATAGGGCCAGCCCGACTGGCCCGACAGCTTCACGAGCACCAACTGCATTTTTAACTTCTTCATCAGAGCTCTTCGAGCCTTGAGCGACAAGCCGGGGCACGACGTGAGCCTTCCGAAGTGAGTACCAGCGTTCTAGAAGGCCGACAAGTACTTTTGCCTGAGCCAGACGGGCCAACGATGGCGGTATTTTTGCCTACTGGGAAGCGAAGACTCAACGCATTCAAAACGTTGGCACCAGGGCGACTTGGGTACTCGAACGTGACATCTTGGAAGACTAGATCGTGGGAGGCACTTTCTAGCTTCAGAGATCCAGTAGCCGACTTGGGCGTGCCGATAACGGTGAAAAGCTCGCAAGCGGCAACCATGGCTTTGCTAACAGCCATCAGAGGCGTCGATATTCGCTCAAGTGACGTAAGAATCATCATGGCGGACATCAGTACGACAACGACCACTCCAGCATCGTCGATTACCCCAGCAACATAGCGCTGGGCTCCGTACCAGAAAGCCAGACCGAAAGCTCCAAATACCCCGAAGAACTGTTTTCAAGTCAGTTATGCGCGCTGTAGATGTGTGTTCTTAAGAGATGCGCATACCACCATGCCAAATTGAGTGCCAACAAATGGTGCAATCTTTTGGCAGTGCTGTCTTGCTTTGTGTACCCAGTTCTCGTATCGCGACGTAATCTTATCTTGGGCGTTCGAGCTTAGGACCAATCGAATTGCTCCTAGAGCCTCGCTAGCAATTGCCGTCCCTTCGGCATCAGCCTGAGTAGCTGCTGTCTGTCCATTGAGGATAGGGGGGAGAACCACGGACAATACAAGCAGTATGTAAAGGATCAAGGAAGAAGTCACCAATGTGATGTCCCAGCTCTAGGTAAAGGCAATAGCCAAGGCACCCCAGATCGTGCCATTGAACTGCAAGAATGTTCGGAGACGCTCGGAAATGCCGAGCTGCAGTGTATTCGTTGTCGCAGTTATATCATTCGCCGGTGCCCCAGCCGGCATCGAGTCGATAACATGAATGGGCTGTTTCAGGAGGGACGACAAGTAGTGGACTCGAATGGCGGACGAAAGGCGAATACCAATTATTCGAGAGCAGAACTTGTTGACAGCGTTCAGACCCCACCGGCCAATGAAAAGAGCCAGAATGTACAACGCTTGCTGGTTCAGAATCCTTCGAAACTCTCCGTTGGAGATGGAGGAAGAGTCTCAAAAGTAGTTGGTGAACTGTCCGACTAGTTGTCCAAAAACAATATTCATTAGAGGGAGGGTGATTCCGGCACCTAGTGACGCCAAGGCAGCAAACGAGTAGACACACATATCCCATCTTGTCGCGTATGTGAACAATCTGAGATAGTCCGAGAACTTTGGCGTCTGGTTGTGTTGCTCGCAATCCAGCTCAGCTTCGTGGGCGTTGCTCTCAATAGCGCACGCCGGGTCGCGCTTTGCGTGGATGGCTCTCTGCGGCATCTCACTCGTGCCTGCCATCTGAAAACTTTGAATAAGAGAAGTTTTAACAAAGGATATAAGCGATGAGATCGTGATTCTTCCTCACTGAACGTCAAATGCAAGTTCAGTGCTGTGTTGATAAGAGAAGAAGTGGAATAAGAAAAGCTGAGCGCTGGTAAGGGTTTATGTAGCAGCGACACTGCCGAGTTGGTCTGGAGGAGCAAGAGTGACGCTTGGTTTCGTAAATTACCTATTTGGGATATTTACGAAGTGAAAGTATAGTGGGGTTTCAAATGCGGGGTTGTGTAACTGAGAGAAGGCACTGCCCAGCTCAAGACGAACTGGGTAGCAAGGAATAGCATCATTAGATTGCGTTTAATGATCTGCGCAGACCCCGTCTCAATTTGAATACATTCCCACGTATCTAACAGCAACTCTCCAGCCGTGTGTCTATGCGTAGTAAATTGTTTTTCAGCTAATGAATCATACTATCCATTTGACTGTCATAAAGGAGCAAGCAGGTTACGAGATCCATCGGGAAGAAGAAACATGGGGCTCCTTGACGAAGCAATATACTATGCAGCGGTTGGAGGTAAATCCTAGTATTCGCCTGCGCACAATACCTGAGCCGATAGTGTATATACTTAGCTCTACAAAGTTCCTCTTATCCTTAAGTGATCTAATAAGACTAAACCGTTATAAAATACCTACTTACTACTTAATAATAGTTAAAAAGAATAGTTAATATAAAAATAAAAAAAAAGATAAACTTTTAAAGTAAATAAGAACTTTAATAATAAAAGTTAAATATAGAAAGTATATAGAAGAATTAAGTTAATATATTTTATAATATAAAAGTATTAATAAAAATATAATTATTAATAATATTAAATATTTTTAAAAAGTTTATTAAAAGGATTTATATAAAATAAGAGTTACTAATTTAAAATAATAATAAATATAAAAATAAAAATATTTAAAAAGAATACTAAAAATTAAATTATTTAAACTTAAGTTATAAATATAAAAATTAAAAATATACTAAAGAGTATTTTATAATAGTAGTATTAATAGTATACTATACCTATGTTCTTCGTACTAACACCCCGCATTAAGGTAGCCATCGCTACCCCTGCATCGACACCGCTTTCTCCAACAAAATCTCCTCCTAACGACGACAAACTACCCCTCCTGTCGTCAGCAGCAATCGCGATAGACCTTCCACATTCACAATGGCTGATACCACCGTCTACCGTGCCGGTACCACGGCCCCCGTTAACATTGCCGTCGTCAAGTTCGTCTTCCTCCCGACGCCCCCTTTTTCTTCAGACGGGACCACGCCAGAGCGAACCCCTAAAACGGCGAACGACTGTTTCGCGCCAATGCTAACAATGACCGACTCGACAGGTACTGGGGCAAGCGTGATGCCAAGCTGAACCTCCCGACCAACAGCTCCATATCCGTGACTCTCTCCCAGGCCGACCTCCGCACGCTCACGACGGCCTCGTGCTCGACCGCCTTCGCCGAGGACAGCCTGACGCTCAACGGCGAGCCCTCCGACATCTCGGGCGCCCGGACGCAGGCCTGCTTCCGCGAGCTGCGCGCCCGCCGCGCGGCCCTGGAAGCCGCCAACTCCTCGCTCCCCAAGCTGTCCGCGATGCCGCTCAAGATCGTCTCCGAGAACAACTTCCCAACCGCTGCTGGCCTTGCATCCTCGGCGGCAGGCTTCGCCGCCCTCGTCCAGGCCATCGCCAACCTCTACGCGCTCCCCGACTCGCCCGCCGACCTCTCTCTTGTCGCCCGCCAGGGCTCCGGATCTGCCTGCCGCAGTCTCTTTGGCGGCTACGTCGCCTGGCGCATGGGCAAGAAGGCGGACGGCAGCGACTCCAAGGCTGACCTCGTCGCTGAGGCCTCGCACTGGCCCAGCATGCGCGCCCTGATCCTCGTGGCCAGCGCCGCCAAGAAGGGCGTGTCCTCCACGTCGGGCATGCAGCAGACCGTGGCCACGTCGGGCCTCTTCAAGGAGCGCATCGAGCGCATCGTCCCGGATAACATGGTGGCCATGGAGGAGGCCATCCACAACCGCGACTTTGAAAAGTTTGCCGAGGTCTCCATGCGCGACTCCAACTCGTTCCACGCGTGCTGCGCCGATACATACCCCCCCATCTTCTACATGAATGACGTCTCTCGCGCTGCCATCCGCGCTGTCGAGTCTATCAACACCAAGGCTGGCAAGACGGTCGCCGCCTATACCTTCGATGCCGGCCCGAACTGCGTTGTTTACTACCTTGAGGAGAACAAGGATGCCGTTCTCGGCGCGTTCTCAGAGACCCTTGGCAGCACTTCTGGCTGGAAAGCCGGCGTCGGCTCCAGCGCTGGCGTTTTGGACGAGACTGTTGCTGAAATCCTTCGTGATGGCGTGACGCGCGTTATCATGACTGGTGTTGGGGAGGGTCCCATCAAGACGGAGGAGTTTCTGATTGATGCCAACGGCGAGACTGTGAAGCGATAAATTGCAGAAAGCGTCATCTTAATTATCTATAAATAGAAACTTATACAATTTGCATAAACAAAAGTATTCAAGCAAACGGACAGAAAAACGCGAGTGTCGTGCTGTTGGGTTATGCCAGCTGGCTTGCGTTTGGTTGCGTGGAGCTCACTCATGGCGGGCCGACATAGATCTCAAACAGCGTTCACTTTCAACATCCTACATCAACCGCACATCCTACAGAATCAGTCCTGCAGACAGATCTTCTCCCATTGGTTAATCACCCGGGATTATAGATATTGCGACTTAAAATTTCATCCATCATTTCGTGGCAACTTCCCTCAAGCCCACCTCTGGTGGCCCGAACAGATGGCGCCAGCTGAACTCCCAGAGCCAACCGCAGCTGCGGTAGCTACACTCATCTCCAGCGGTAGTGAGGTCGAGATCTCTGAACTAGACAAGTCAGGCCATGTACAGCAGAAATGGCTCTATGAACCGAGCGGTCGCATCATCCACGTAAATAGACCTTCTCCGCCCTCTCATCGCTGTGCATCCAAGTTAACCAACCATCTTCAGATCCGCCCCGAGGGCCACACAAACGACCTCTTCTCCCGCTCGCTGCGAGAATGGAAGAAGATTCTGTCCGACTCCTTCCTGCCCGTCGGCTTCCCGCACTCCGTGTCCTCCGACTACTTCGCCTACCAGACCTTCGACTCCCTGCAGGCTTTCTTCTCCACCATCACCTCGCTGCTCGCCAGCCGGGCCCTGCTGCAGGGCCTCGGCGTCGGCGACGCCAACTCGTCGGCCACCTTTGCGCTGCTGCTGACCATCCTGCGCGACGCCACCTCGCGCGTCGCGACGATTGCGTTCGCCCACCGCTTCGGCCTCCGCATAGAGCCGGACGCGAAGCGGTACCGGTTCCTGGCAGACCTGTTCAATGACACGGCCTTCTTCCTCGAGCTCGGCAGCCCGTACCTGTCGCCGTGGGGCAAGGTGGCCGCGCTGAGCCTCGGCGAGGCGCTGCGTGCGCTGTGCGGCGTCTCGGCGGGCGCGAGCAAGGCTGCGCTGAGCATGCACTTTGCGAAGCACGACAACCTGGCGGAGCTGAATGCGAAGGAGGCCAGCCAGGAGACCGCCGTGGGGCTTATTGGGCTCCTGGTCGGGACGTTTGTCGTTAAGCTGATTCAGAACCCTCGAAGTGTTGTTTGCCTGATGACTCTTCTCGTTTTCGGTCATCTCTGGATGAACTATCTTGGTGTCCGCAGCGTGCAGATGACCACCTTGAATCGACAGCGTGCCACCATTTTATTCCAAGAGTATTTACGGACCGGAAAGGTGCTGTCTCCCGCAGAGGTCTCCAAACGCGAATGGATCATCGTTTGGACTCCCCTCATTTCAAATCGACAGGGCCAGAAAGTCGCTAAGATCGAACTGGCTAAGAGCTTTGGACACGCGATGAGCAGCTCGACCGGCCCAGTCAAGATCCTCGACGGCGACAGTTACTCTATCGCCGTGACGCCAGCAGCACCACGCAAGAATACAATGATTCGAATCATTCTGTGGGATAATGTCTTGCCGGAACAGGCAGTTATGGCCTGGTTCGAGGCTGTAGAGATAGCCTGGGCCATGCAGAAGAAGATGGGCTTCACATCAGAGCTGGAGAGCATGTTTAGATGCAAAGAGAGCGACACTCACGGGTATAGAATGAAGTTCAGCAACAAAGAGTTGTGGGAGAGCATGATCGAAAAGGGCTGGGACTTGTCTACGCAATCGCTGGAGACGGCTGCGCCAGTCCGACTGGTGGCTCGCAAGTTGAACACAAAGGTGTATTAGTCGGGTGAGGTGGTGGAAGAGCGGCGGAACGAAAACCTAAGATGGCTTGTCACACGGCGTAACGTGTCTTATACCTCTACGCACAGGCATACTGTGAATACATTTTGCTTTATTAACACACTATAACTAGTTATACAAGTGGCAGGTATGCCCTGATGTCTATATGTCTTTATACATTGTGGTACAGGAGATGCTCAACGCTCGCCTTCCGCGTCAGTCATTCATCATGGTGCGTTGGATCACAGGGGGAAGCTACCTGCTCAGGCCAGGTGCGCCCAGCGCATGGCGCGCATCTTGACGCCCTCCCAGGTGTTGAGCTTTGGCCGGACGTCCAGGTAGAAGCTGGGCCCCGGCGCCGCGCCCGCGCCGCCCGGGCGACCGGCGTAAAAGTCAATGACATACTCGACCCGCGTGCCGCAGCGGTCAATGACCCAGTCGTGGCGGTCAAACGGCGCCGTGAAGCCGAGGATGGTGTTGAGGCGCGCCGTGGGCGTCATTCGGTCGTTCTTGTTGGCAAAGGATTCGAGTCGTGGTCCGCCGCATCTGAAGGCGTGCGGTTAGCAAAAAGCCCAAACTTAAAGGAGAAGGGCAAGACTCACTGGGACTGGGCGAGGTAGGGGGCCTCCCACTCTTTGATCTCCTTCCAGGCGCGCTCGTTGACGGCGTTGTGGATGGGTACGACGGTCTTCATGTCAGCGACGCGGGCGTCGTAGCCCTTGCGGCGCATGGCGTCGAAGAACATCTTCTCCGAGGGGTACACCCAGTTTCCGGAGGCGGCGTCGGCGCCGGACTCGAGCTCGCTGTTGGCGGGGTTGGCCGACGCACCGTGCTCCACGGGGCATGGCGAGGAGGAGGAGGAGGAGGAGGCGTCACTGGAGGCGACACGCGGGATCGTGGAGACTACGCGGTCGATGTCGAGGCCAGGAGCGGAGCGGCTGGGCTGCGCTACGGGAGCGGCGGGTGGCGACGGCGATGACCAGAGGAGAGAGGATAGACGCGCACCCCAAGACGAGGGCGCTTGAGCAGTGTGATCGACGGGGCATTGCTTTGCAGAGGAGGAGGAGGAGGCGGCGGCGGCGGCCTTGGAGGCTTCCGCGGCCCTGGCCTGCTCGAGCCAGGCTTCGCGGCTTTTGTGGTCGACGGGGCAGGCGTCGGCAGCCATTGTGCGGTTCGGTCAGGGTTTGTATGGTCTGAGGTGAGTGTGGTTTAGCTAGAGAAGGGGCGAGATGAGGAACACGGCTGAAGAGACTGATGCAAGATTGTTCGTAGAAGAATGTCTGTCTGGTGAAGATGCCATCTGAACAAAAAAAAAAAGTCCCCCCAGCTGCGCCGGCTAAAAGTGGGCCGTGCTAGCAACGGGTTGATGAGTGCATGTCAAATTCATGATGATTCACGGTATTTTGTGCTTTTTGAAAAACAGCCCGATGCAATTCCCCGAAAATGATGGAGGCGAAATGGTCAAAGATGGCAGTTTTCTCTGTCACGCCCTGATGCTGATGGTCGGCTTTTGGTCGCAGGAAACTTACGCAGGAAGATAATGGAATAAGACGGCGCCAGCTAGGTACTTAAGATAGTGGGGGATACAGGAATTGAATGGACCACGCTTTCATGTGAGTAAATAGTGAATCACAGGGCTATGAGTAGAAAGACGGACCCTTTTACGCTTAATGTAGCCGTTGGGAAATTCCTGCGTGATGCTGCTGTTGAAGCGCTTGGCTTTCCCAATCACAGCGGTGCAGCGGTGGCTTACAGTACATACAGTAGGATACAACACTAATCAGCCCCAGAACTGTCGCGTGATGAGACAAGGCCTGGACTTGACAAGTTACAACTCGAAAACCTCAGACGAGCCATCATGCCGCGCTGCTGCAAAGCAACAACGAGGAAGACCTTCAGATGACAAACATCTCAGCCTCTTCTCACATGCGCCTCCCACTCCCCGGGAGCCCCTCGTCTTCCTGGGGTGCCTACGCCGCGCGCCTGAATGCCCTCTTTAACCATCCCAACATGAAGGTCGTCCTAGCCTTCTGGCTCCTCGGTAACGTCCCCATCCACCTTCCCTCCTCTCCCGCGCCGTCCAATCCCACAACAACCCTAACCGCCGCCGCTTGTGACAGGCCTCATCAACAACGTCCTCTACGTCATCATCCTCTCCGCCGCGCAGGACCTCGTCGGCAGCGTCCCCAAGGGCGTCGTGCTGCTCGCCGACGTCGTGCCCTCGTTCCTCGCCAAGCTCGTCGCCCCCTACTTCGTCCACCGCGTGCCCTACCGCGCGCGCGTCCCCGTCCTCTGCGCGCTCTCCGTCGGCGGCATGTGCCTCGTCGCGCTGACGCCGCCCTCGGCCCCCGTCGCCGCCAAGATGGTCGGCGTCGTGCTCGCCAGCCTCAGCAGCGGCGGCGGCGAGCTCAGCTTCCTCGGCCTCGCCCACTTCTACGGCCCGACCAGCCTCGCCGGCTGGGGGTCCGGCACCGGCGCCGCGGGGCTCGTCGGCGCGGGGCTCTACGTCGCGCTCACGGACTGGTGGGGGGTCAGCGTCCGCGGTAGCTTGCTGGTCGCGGCGGCCCTGCCGGTCGTCATGCTCGTCAGCTTCTTTGGCGTGCTGCCCCAGGCGCCGCTGCGAAGGAAGGCGGGCGGCGCGCCGGGCTACAGCGCGCCGATGGAAACGGATGGTGGTGCCGCGGAGGGGGAGGAGGAGGAGAGCTCAGCGACGGCGGCGCTGTTGGGCCCTATGCGTGCTCGGGCGGCGGCGGCGCACGGCGCCTCGGAGCTTTCGGCCCTCAAGGCCAACTTGAGACGCGCAAAGTTACTGGTGATTCCGTACATGCTCCCGCTCTTCCTCGTGTATGTCGCCGAGTACACCATCAACCAAGGTGTTGCCCCCACGCTCCTCTTCCCCCTCGCCGAGTCGCCTTTCACCGAGTTCCGCGAGTTCTACCCGTTCTACGGCTTCCTCTACCAGCTCGGTGTCTTCATCTCCCGATCGTCCATATCCTTTGTCCGCATTCATCACTTGTACCTACCTTCATTTTTGCAGATTGGAAATCTCGCCTTGCTGACGATGCATGCCATGACCTTCTTCATCCCTTCCGTGTATATCGTCTTCATCATCATATTCTGGGAGGGCTTGCTGGGCGGCGCCGTCTACGTCAACTGTTTTGCCGAGATTATGGAGAATGTGCCGGAGGAGGAGCGTGAGTTTAGTCTGAGTGCCACCACCGTCAGCGATAGCGGCGGTATCTGCATCGCGGCCCTCCTGGGGATCATCATGGAGATTGGCCTCTGCAACTACCAAGTAGCTCACGGTCGGGATTGGTGTAAACAGATCAAGGCTCAACAGAGGTGACTTGGTCATGATAGAGAGCGACTCATCATAGGAACGATATTTGGTGCCATATTCAATACATTACATTTCATGATACACGGCCTAAGCTAAGATCTCAGTTGGTTCGGGCCTCTTGAAGCCCTTCACCTTGACTTCAACCGCCTGCTGCGTGGCGCCTTCGAGATCAACCATGAGCTGCCTCCACATTAGTCCCTCCGCTTCCGGCCTTCGTCGCACTTTACGCTTATCCAACCATATGCAGATGGCGCGATAGTCCCTTCTCGCCCTGCCGCTGAGCCACCAGACCTGGTCGAAGCGACACAGAAGCCCGAGCCAGTACCCCAAGAGCCACATGGCCGGCTCGCTGTCGTGCTCCAGCAAGGAGCGGAACGCGACCCCGACCTTGCCAAAGAAGGCCATGTACAGGAAGAACGATTCGTGGCTGACCGGGGTAGACACCAACTCGGCGAGGACGCGCACCGGTTCGTAAAAGATGTGATCGGGGTCGGCGGAAGCGTAATCGAGCCCGCACAGGCGAAGCCAGTGCGGCGGTACCCTCGACAGCGACTTTGCCCCGTCGCCGTGGTACGTCTTCCGCTCGTCATCGGAGGCGTCAAAGATGTGGCGGAGGATGGAGCGGTCGTGGAACCGCTTGGTGCGCTCCAGCAGCGGCGCCAGGCCCATGCTCAGCGAGAACCACGCGAGGCGGTCCGGCGCGGCGGTGAAGACCCAGGACCGTGCCGGGTCATCGTCGTCGTCGAGCGCAAAGGAGAGGAGGTTGAACATCATGGAGGAGATGAGCACCGAGTCGGAGGCCTCCTGGTCCAGCGGCTCTCCTAGCGCGCGGTTGAAGCTGCGGATGGCGAGCGACTGCTGGTAGTGCTCCGCGACGCGGCACGCGGATACGGCGGCATCGTCGTCGTTGTTGGTCTGGTACATGTGTCGCAGGTGGCAGGCGGCCACGGCGAGGGTCACGTCGAGGAGGTAAGGGCGGCTGGCGCCGAGGCCGACGATGAAGGCCATCTGCCCGCAGGCGGTCTCGAGACCGGTGGAGGGGGCGTGGAAGTGCTGGTTGATGTGGTGAAGGAGGGAGACGCGCGATACGCCTCGCGCGGGGGACTTGGACTGCAGGTAGGTGTTGGCCAGCGCGATGGCTGAGGGCTGGGCGAAGGCGAACGGCGGCGTGTAGGGGGTGAGGGCGGTTGTCGCGCCGATGGCATCCCCTCGTTTCGACGGGGCGGGCTTGCGAGCTGGTTTGGATCTACCGGACGCAGAGTACTGACATTCCGCGTTGCATCGGAGACACCTTGTGCAGGAAGGCTTGCCCTCATCGCACTGAGAGCGGGTTAGTCGGTGGCTTCGGCCGGGAGGCACTTCCGGATATCCGGCAGATATGAACGAACCTTGATTCTGCTCAGCTTGCATCCCAAGCAGCCGCCTCGCGATTTGCGGTGCGACTTGCGCGTGATGTATTTGCGAGCCTGCGCTTCGCGATGGGGCTGGAACGAGATGACCTGGTAGGCCGGCTCTGTCTTGCTTTCGCTCGGTAGCGGTGACATGGTGATGCAGCCACGCGGCGTCGATGTCTACTTGATGGTGCAGCAGCCTCCGAATGAGGGAAACGAGGCATTGAACCGATGAACTTCTTATGTGATGGGCTAGTAAGAATTTTGTGTTTGGGGCGACGTCATCTTCATGGTCGCATTCATCGGACAAGTGCGGCTGAAGAGATGTGGTGGGACTGTGGCGCACATCTCGTTTTCCCTTTTGGGACATGATGAAAAGGGCGGGCTGCAAGTAAGAAAGGCTGGGATGCGGAATAGTTTGAGCTGCATAATGACACACAAGATATGTTCTAAAGGGCGCATGCTTCTTTTTTCTTTGTCTCATTGCAGCCTAAACTTGGTGTCTGCCGCCAACGTCGTTTTCCCTTTCAACGTTCCGTTGAAAGCACACTGACCATAGCCCCCACGCCTACAGAAGAAAAGCAACTACCCGGGACAAATGTATATAAGAAGGCAACGGCCATCGTACTCGAAGCTGTATAACTGTTGTGGCAGGCTTCCTCTCGGCACACCTCCATTTTACAACAGACATGATGAAGCAACTCTTCCTTGCTGCACAGTTTCTAGCGCAGTGCATTGCCACCTCGAAATCGGTCCCGTGCCCATCACCTACCCGCGGTCTTGTAGACTTAGGCTATGCCACGCATATCCCTACATACATCAACACGACGGCTTCGGGCGAACGCGTGGCCGTGTACAAAAACATTCGTTTCGCCAACTCGCCGACTGGGGAGCTGCGCTTTCGCAAACCGGACACTGATCTGCCTCGGCAGGACGGGGTGCAGGACGGCCGAGCCTCCAGGTCGAACTCGACGTGCATTTCTACCGCGCCTTGGATGGTCCCGTTCACAGAAATCAACGGTACGACATTTGGCGTGGAAGACTGTCTGTTCTTGGATGTCTTTGTGCCAGAAGATGTGAGAGCAGGCGACAAGGTGCCGGTTCTGCAGTGGTTTACTGGGTCTGCATACGCATTCGGGGGCAAAGAGTACTTCATCAACCCCTTGGGCCTGTTTGATCGCATCAAGGCTGCGGGATTGGGCAAATTCATCTTCGTGGTAAACAACTATAGGTAAAAACCGCCTTCATCTTCATGCTTGGTGATACAGCTAACGCTCGGCAGGCTTGGAGTCAGCGGCTTCATGTACTCGGCCAAGCAAGACATGGACGCCAACGTCGGGCTCTTTGATTCGCTCGCAGCCGCCGAGTGGACGGCCAAGTACATTCACAAATTCGGCGGCGACGCCTCTCGATTCTCGGTCATTGGAGAGAGTGCTGGTGCGGGGATACTCTACTATCTTACCACCCTCCAGTCCGGCGAGGCAGCCCTTCCCTTCCAGCAGGCGTTCATCGCGTCACCTGCGGCGCCTCCACGCCGAGACGTCGCATCTCGGCAAGAAGACGTGTTCCAAGCGGTGTTGAAAACGGCCAACTGCACGTCGATGGAGTGTCTCCGAAACCTGTCAGAGGCGGACCTCAAGGCCGTCAACCACGTCCTCATCAACAACACCGACGCCGGGAGCGGAGGCGGCAACTTTGGTCCAGGTATCGGCTTTGGCCTTGCGCCTGATGGACGAGACTTTGCGGACATCCCTGCTCGTCTGCTCGGCGACGGGAAGGTCAACCGCGGGCTGAAGCGCCTGATCGTGGGCACCATGGCCAACGAGGGCCTCTACACGTCCAGCGACGACGACATGCCGAACGCGTTCCCTGCCCTTGTGCGCCGTATGCTTCCCGGCGCGAGCGATGAAACAATCTCTTTTATTCAAGCACGATATCACCCACAGGTGCCAGCCCAGCTCGCGTGGGACTGGACGACCGACGTCGTGTTTGCCTGCCCGGCGTACAATTTGGCGAATGCGCTCCCCGATCGCACGCACTTCTACATTAATTCGATTCCTCCCGCAGCGCATGGGCAGGACGTTCCCTGTAAGTCCACGGTGCGTGATCGGCGGGCTGTACTGACGAGGCGCCACAGATTACTTTTACGTGGATCAGGGCAGCACGCCAGTGGATGACCCAGAGCTGGCGTTGGCGTATCAAGACAAGATTATCAACTTCTTGCATGGTAGAGATATTGATTGGCCGGTTTACGGGAGCAGTAGAGACATGTATAACATCACTGGCGAGTTTGTCCACATCGTACTTCCGGAGGATCTGCAGGCCAGATGCAGTACCATCGATTCCATGGTCCTGGACAAGGAGAACGGAGCCTAAAGTTAACATTGCGTTATTGCGGAGAGAAAATGACATTTACCAAAATAGCTCGAGCCTGGGGACAAACGGAAGAAAAAGCATGTTTCTTTAGCATTATACGGGAGACAGACTGACTCAGCATACAATTCCTCTGCGCAGTGACGTGCAAACGAGCGGCGTCTCTCCGGCGTCCAACGTTGCAGAGCTCCGTTCGTATTTGTCCTTGGTGCTGCCCCGAATACAGGCAAAGAAAATATCTCGCACGAGACTCGCAGTGAGTCAAGTTGTTTCATGATGCGATTTGCATGTTGAAATATGCCCCGTTTGTGCATCGCAAGCTTGCCTACGATATGCAATCACCACCTGGTGAGTAATGCATGTACGTATGCGCTCCGCCCTTCGAGCCGCAAACAGAGAAGATGCAGCGTCTTCATCGAGATCCAAGTGAGGCTGATGTTGGTATGTTGTGGATGGTGTGCATTGCCGAAACGAAGTGACACTAGATTGTTCAGCATGCGCACTCGCCTCTTCCTTCTCAACCTGGAGAGCAGCGGCTTGGCGCGCAGCTGTTTGCTCTGGACCTCGCACCTTCGTATCGCAACAACATCAGATTCTCTCATAAATACCTACGACCGAGACCGACAAAAACTCCTCCGCCTCTGTCTATCCCACTCTTCTACCCTTTAGATATATTCGAATCGATACAATGCTTGCTACTCGTGGCTATGGATCGCGTCGTTTCTGGTGGGCGACCATCACTGTCACACTTCTCTTCTTATTTTTCACCCTCGTTTACTTTAGATTAACGAGTCAGGATATTCTCGCCGGCACTAGGTGAGCTGCCATTGCAGGGTCAGCCCCCGAACGACGGATGCTAATAACGCCTGCGCAGTCGAGAGCTGGTGATACTACACCAAGTCGCCTTCGAAACCGCGACGAAAACCTCGAAGCCCTGGATTGACTTTTATTTCCAGAGGTTGCAGAACCCGTCGGTACTGCCTGACACACCGAAATACTCGCCGTTTGGGGCAATGGAATGGCACCTGCCGGAGGACATCGCATGGCATGCTGGGCTTGGCAAGGACCTTTGCATCATCGACTTTGACGATCGAGCCTTCGACGTCCCTGGTCAAATATTTGGACCGAACTTCATGAGCTGGCAAAACGCAGAATCTGTGCACGGACTGTCGCTTGGGATCCTAAATCACTGGCTGTATAGTGAGTCGCGTTTGCTGTTTGCCGTTTGTCGTTTGCATTGTCCCGGAAATAACTAGCTAACACGACTGACAGGTAAAATACACGGATACAAGTACTACTATATAGTAGTGGGGGAGTACGAGGATCGCCGCACTTCCTGGAAGAAGCCGGCTGTTATTGCAAAGCTACTCGCCAAGCACCAGGCATGCATCTACCTGGACTCGGATGCGCTGTTCAGAAATCTGGACTTGCCGTTCGAGTGGCTGATGAATTACTGGCAGCTCAGCCCAGCCTCCAACTCGCTTGCCCTCGCCTTCGATCCGACGCACGAGGCGAATCAGGACGAGTTTGGCAAGGGATACCTCAACACGGGGTTCCTCGTGGCGCAAAACAACCCGAGGACATTCGAGGTGCTGGCTGCGTGGGAGGACTGCCCCAACGAGGGCGGGCGCTACCCGGAGTGCACCAAGTTCCGGACCAACAACCCGGGCCGGCCGACGGACCAGGGCGGGTTCGGCACATATGTTCGGTACGACTACGCCGAAATCATTCGGGAGCTGCCATGCGACGAGGCCAACGGGTTTCCCGAGGCGCACGCGGGTTGCGACGGCACGTTTGTGCGCCACGTGTGGACGGGCAAGGACTCGTTGCTCAAGGTCTTTGCGGGAGGACAGATGCCAGGCCCGTACCTGGAGTATTTCCACGAGGAGTTTGTGGCAACCAAGGCGGAGTTTCTCATGAATGAAACCGAGCTGATGGGTTGAGGTGGGCGACGGGCGAGTGGGAGCTAATAGAATGGTAGATTTCTATTTCTAGTAACGCTTCCTAGGTATTATGTGTTGTTGCAATGTAATCTGTATGGTCTTCTCGACCATGGAATCATCCACCGTGTTGACTGTAAAGGTAGATGGAGGAGGATGTGATGATACTGCGCCGAGCTTGTCGATCTCAAGCCATGATTGCCGCTATTACCGTCGCAGCCGCTATTACGCCGCAATGCAGCGAGTTTGTCGTCGAACAGACGGCATTATTAATGAATGCAGCCACAGAGAGGAGGAGCTGAAAACGAAAACAAGTTGCCTCGGCGCGCCCTCCGCGAGCGCCACCAACTCAACCACACCACCCAGGGTACGGATACAAAGAGGCAACCGCGCTCTATTTCCGGATGCCGCTGTCAAGTCGTGTCTGGCGTTGCTGGCTACCTTGATAATGGATTTTATAATTTTAATATTTCACATCATTAGCATCTATCTTATTGTATTTTTCTATCGTTTACATGGTCTACATCTTGCTCATCCGCCCTATGCATGCTTGCCTTGCTTCTGGAATCCGGCCTGCTGGTACGCCTAGTAGAGCCCACAATGTGTCGCTCCCCTTTATGAAAAACCACAACACAGACTGGCACTGCGGATGGTCCGAAACCGCTGCAGTAATGACAGCCTATTTCCGTGCGTTGGTGCATACATGTCTAAGACTGCGTGTCGCCCTGTTGCCTCTTTACCTCTTGTCCGTCGTTTGTCGCGAAAACAAAAAAGAGCATCTTCCGAAGAAGGGCGCCATCCGACAGCGAAGCCACCTTCAGGTTGCCGATCGTCCTCAATTCAATCTAGTTTATCTCCAAGGGTGCAGAAAAATTTGCGTGTTGTCTTGTAACTTTTACTCTCTATAATCTCCTTTCCCTCTTGCAAATTTTTTTTTTCTTTTTACTTTTGTTACGGTTTTGTCTTGTTGGGTATAGCACCTTCGCAAAGCTGCCTTGTCTCGTGCGCCGGGACCGGATCTTCCGGCGCGGCTGCCCCGGTGGGTTTCGGCACCATCCGCATGTTAGCACACCGACTTGCCGGGCCTGTCAACGGCAGGGACTATGAAAGGCCATCACTGATAGACATATCTGGTACAATTTTCCGTAACTTGTAACAACCTCGCCTTATGTCGATGAATTTGTCTATTTGTCTTCCCCTTCCTGATGAGCCGCCTTCTGTCTCGCTGATCAGTAATCGCCCGGAAGCCAGCAGCAAGCATCCCAGGGGTCTCGAATGCCCGCATATGGCCGTCGTACTCCCGCTCTAGCGCCCCTGCCCAACGCCCCAGGCCAATCCCGGTTAAGGCCTTGTCATCGGGTCTCTGAGTCTGACCAACTGGCAGGGCTAGTGAATGCAGGGTTGGGCGAAGGCTGGGAGAAGGATTGGAAATGCAGGACTAGTTGTATATAAATAAGAATGTACGCCTTCCCCTCACTGTTGGAGTCCTCAAAGCCGCGAACAACATCGAGTTCTGCCTGTGTTGTCGAAACCGGTTCTCAGAGGATCGCCGCAATATCTTCCCCAGTATATCGACACCTATAGCATCAAGACTTTCTCACGGCTTTCAATCCAATTCACACCAAGAGCAGTTGTTTTTGTTTGGGCTAGTCGCAGAGGCCAACGTTTTTGGATCCCGGCCGCGCATATACGCGGCTCAAACAGCCCCCCCCCCTTCCCCTTCTCACTCTCACGACCTCAGTGACAGCCTCCCTCGCCGACACAATTTTCCACAATGTCAACCACCGAGCCTGTACCGTCGACGCCAACCCGCCCGGACGGCGACGCACAAGAAGGCGCCCCCGGAGCCGCCTCGCCCCCCGGCACCGGCCTCTCTGTGCCCGCCAGCTCCGACGCCAGTGAGAAGCAGCTCGACAAGACGTCCGCCGCCGTGGAATGGGACCTTGACCCGCGCAACCCCATGAACTGGCCCAACTGGAAAAAGGCACACCTCATCATTATGCTGTCCTCCTTTGGCTTCGTCTCGTACGTGGTCCCCCCCCACCCTTTTTATCTTTCCATCTTTCCGCCTCGCTAACCTTCCGCCCCGCAGCTCCGCCGGCACGTCCATCATCAGCCCCGCGACCGCCGCCATCGCCGCCGAGTTCCACGTCTCGCGCGTCGTCGCCCTCCTTCCGCTCTCGCTGTACTGCTTCGCCCTCGGCTTCGGCCCCGTCCTCGGCGGCCCGCTGTCCGAGACCCTGGGCCGCCGGCCCGTGTACGTCGGCACCAGCGTCCTCGGCGCGCTCTTCACGCTCGTCGCGGGGCTGACGCACAGCTTCGCGGGGCTGTGCGTGCTGCGCTTCCTGGCGGGGTTCTGCTGGGCGCCGGCGCTGGCGTCGGGCTCCGGGTCCATCGTGGAGACGTTTGCGCCGCGTAGTCGCGGGCCGATGATGGCGGTGTACATTCTCATGCCCTTTCTGGGTCCGGGCTTTGCGTACGTTTTCTCTCCTTGCCTGTATATAGAGAGAGACAAAAGAGCTTCTCTCATCTGAACCCCTTTGCCGTCAGCCGTCAAAACTGGCGCTGGACGCAGTGGATTCTCCTCTTCTTCGCCGCCTTCACCCTCCTCTTCACGCTCACCACGTGGGAGACCTTCCCCGCCATCCTCAAGCGCCGAATCGCCAAGGAGCGCGGCGAGCACGTGCCACCCTCTCCTCCCATCCCCCAACGCATCGCCACCTTCCTACAGACCGGCCTCGTCCGGCCGGTGCACATGCTCCTCACCGAGCCCATCACCGGCTTCCTGTGCCTGTACGTCTCCGTCAACTTTGGCATCCTCTTCAGCTTCTTCGCCGGCCTGGCCTACACGTTTGGCCGCGTCTACCACTTCGACGTGGAGCAGTCCGGGCTCGTCTTCCTCTCCGTCGCCGTCGGCTGCCTGCTCGGGCTGGCCACGATCCTGCTCTGCGACGTCGCGCTGTACCGCCCGCGGATGGCGCGCTTCCCGGGCGGAAAGGTGCCGCCGGAGCATCGGCTGTACCCGGCGATGGTGGGCAGCTTGGGATTGCCGGTGGGCTTGTTCTGGTACGCGTGGACGGCGAGGAGCGACGTGTCGTGGGCGAGCCCGGCGGTGGCGATATTGCCGTTTGCCTGGGGGAACCTGTGCATCTTTGTCTCGGCGATGCAGTACGGCGCGGACACGTACCACGGCAGCGTAGTGGCGAGCCAGGCCAGCGCGAACAGCCTGGCGCGGTACGGGTTTGCAGGTGCGTTTCCGCTCTTCATCGTGCAGATGTACGACAAGCTGGGCGTCAACTGGGCAGTCAGCCTGTTTGCGTTCGTGACGGTTGCCCTTCTTCCAATCCCGTGGGTTCTGTTCAAGTTTGGTCCTCGCATCCGTGCCTTGAGCAAATACCCAACGGTCCAGTACGAGAATCTTTAAACCTTCATTGCATACATTGGCGTTGTACTTGATTTTCTTTGTGACATCACGCATGGCTTTTAGAATAGCATGGCGAAAATTGACATTAGAATAGAGGCGGCAGCAAGGGATGCTCCACGGAGACTCCATGCGCCAAGGTCATTAGATAATTCATTTCACTTGTTCTTTCAACACTTCCCGTACATTCTCTTCTGACAGGCGCTGTAAACCTCTATTCTCGACATCCGAGCCCATTACTCCTCAATCACCTGGCCCGGGGCAATATTGAACTCCTTGTCGAGGTAATACCACCGATCATACTGGGCGGGGCGCTCGGCAGGGGGCAGAATATTACTCTTGGCAGGAATCTTGAACTTGGCGGTGGTGTTCTTGGAGGGGACATACGTCTTGCACCAACGCGGGTTCGACGTCTGGTCGCGGTTGATCTTTTCCTTTTGAGTCTTGCCGCGCATCAGGTTGAGCCAAAAGTCGTGGCTTTCATGGATATGGGCGATCATGGTGTCTGCGTCCTGGAACTTGCCGCCAACGATGAAGTTCTTTCCCGAGCCTTTGATCACCTTGTAGTACTACGGGCGTGGTTAAAACGACGCGTTGATCAGCAAGCAGAGTGGTAAAGTTAACTAGTTGTAACTTACGATGAACCAGTCATAGAAGGACTGCTTGCTTCCAGGCCGGAAAACTTCCAAATCATCGACATCTACCCAATATGTAAGCGCATGAAGACGCGGGCATTTTTTAGACGGCCAAAACTTACTGTTCACCTTGGAGGCGATTGGGTCCTTGACATCAATGGCAAGGACCTTCCAGTCAGTGGTTTCCTCCTAGTGCATGAAAAGTCAAGTAAGCATGCATGAGCATTTTAGTCATTCGAGGGTTAGACGTACGTCGATCATGGCCAGGCCGCCAAGGACCTTGACCTGCTTCAATTGTCCTACGTAGGGAGGCTCCAGCGAACTAACGTCGAAAATATCCATCGGGTCATTGTCGCCAACGTATCCGGTAAAGTTGTGGACAACAGTTGAGTCCTCCCAAGTCTGGGGTATGGAGCCGTAGTTAAAGGGATACGTCTTTTGAGGCCAGACGCTAAAGACAAATCGCGGCTTCTTTTTCTTGTCGTCGTGGAATATGGGGTCTTGACCAAATTTTGTCAGTGTACGTTCCACAGCATCACAAGCGTGACGTACTCATGGGTTCATTTCGCTTCGTTTCAAGCTTGCCGTCGGTCCATCGGGGAATCTCAACATACATGTTGATGATGTTGGAGACGTTTCCCTGGGGGTAGAGAGGGATGTCGTGCCAGAATGAAATCGGGTTGCCATGCTGCTCCAGCCAAACACGCCAGTCCTATTCCCAACGTTAATATTCTGAGTAATCTATATTCTGAAGGGGTCCTCGACTACATACCAGCGTGTTCCGCGCTCCAACTTCCCTCAGGCTCAGAGAGCTGGGATCAAACGGCTTGACGTTGGACGCGGCGGCAGCAGCGCCGACCGCGAGGGAAACCAAGGACAAGAACGAGCGCATTGTGAACGTCTTTCTGCTCCGAAGATGAAAAAGGAATAAGAAACAAAAAGCACTACATTATGCAGACAAGAGATATTAATGAGCTCGAGAGCAACTAATTGCTTGGCATTGGGGCATCTGCATAGTGTCAGTCTCCACAGGTCACTCATCAACCATTGTCTCCAGGTTGCACCCGCAGATGCGACTCCGGATTTCCGTGTATTATTACACTGACAGGAGGATATATGTCTCCTCATAGCGTGACCCTGTCACCTGTGCCAAGACAATAGAGCACAATTGATTGCAGCTGACGCTTCTCAAGTTTGCCGAGGAGGTTGTCCGCTTTCAGTCTCGGTCAGTGTCGATAATTACGAACAGCATCTTGGCTATTTCTCCAGCGCACGCGATAGAGCAGAGACTCCTATTTCTAGCGTCATCCACCAGGTACCCGTGCGACGCCACGAGCTGGCTCTTTTAGGTCTTCGGTATGCTTAAACAGCCTCGAGCTAGCTGCTGATCCAACGGGGCCGGGACGCGGCCGCACGTGGGCAATAGTTTTTCTTGGAGAGCAGACGTAGGTAAGCAAAAGTCAAGCGCCATGGTGGAACTTTTTAGCTGAGGCTGAAATGGTGTAGATGGAGAGTCTTGGTATTGAGGCTCCAAGGTCTTGGCGATGAGGGAGCCTGCGGGTGTGTTGATGATGGGGCATCCTTTCTCCCAGCGGCTAGTATTGAGCCTTCTCATGCTGGGAACATGTTCAAATTCGCCTGTGGGTATCAACAATATTTAAAAAAAAATTTACAATTATATATGCACGGTCATCACATGTACTGCCACCCGTGTTATGTGTATAGCCTCATGAAGTCCATCTCGGGGCGTTCAGGATCAACCCCATCAAGCATCCCGACATCAGGCCCGTGACCGGCACCGTGATCAACCATCCCATGTAAATCCACCCGACCAGCTTCGGGTTGATGCACCGCCAATCCCCGTTCGCCAGCCCGACGCCCACCGTCGCGCCGGTGATGCACTGCGTCGTCGACACCGGCAGCCTCAACCTCGTCGCCACGATCACCGTCAGCGCCGTCGCCAGCTCCATGCAGAACCCGCGCGTCGGCGAGATCAGCGTCAGCCTGTTCCCCAGCGTGCGCATCACGTGGTATCCGTAGGTAAGCAGGCCGAGCACGATGCCCGCGCCGCCCGCGCACAGCACCCACATCGGCACGTCCACCTCCGGAGAGACCACCCCCCGGGACCACACGTCGTAGGCGGTGGTGAAGGGCGCGACGGCGTTGGACACGTCGTTGGCGCCGTGGGTGAAGGAGGCGGCCGCGGCGGTGAGGACTTGCAGCGCGGAGAACATGTACTCGGCGCGGTTGTCGAAGCGAGGGGCACGCGAGTGCATGGCTTCGAGGTCCCAGCTGAGCACCGCGTTGCGTCGCTGCATGTGCACCACGTCCTTCTCGATGCCCCGCAGGAGCACCCGGTTGAGGCGCCAGGCGAGCACCGGGAGGCTGCTCGAGGAGCCCGGCGGCCGCGGCGGGACGAGGCTGCTGCTGCTGTGGGCGGATGGTCGCCGCCGCCGCCGGAGCGTGGCGGGCTCGGCCTGTGGCGCGGGCGGGAGGAGGATGGCCTCGTCGTCCTTGTCGAGGTCCGGGGGTCCGTTCGCTCCGTGCATCTGCACTGATTCGAGCAGCGACTCGGAGGCGCGGACGTAGGAGAGCTCCTCCGGGCTCAGGTACCCGCGGTAGTAGTCCCTGATCTGCGGCTTCACGAAGCCGCTCGGCGTCGGCGGGGGGACGTGTCGCCGGAGCAGCAAGGGGCCGAGGAGGGCGTGATACCACCGCAGGGTCCAGTCTTGTCGGATGATGCGCACCCACATGTACGGCATCACAAAGGCGGCGTGCAGCAGCGTGCCGCCGCCGGCAGAAGCAAATACGACGATGATTGTCGTCGTCGTTGAGATGTTGACGTTGCGTAGACCCTTCCAAGCAACCAGCACTAGATCCGCCAGTTAGCATTTCATCGAGCACACGAAACCCTACTTGCGCGGATGCATGCACATACTCGCAACGCTTCCAAAGGTGAGGAAGCTGAATAGTGGGATGCACCAAAACGCCCTGCGGACCGAGTCGCGGCTCCCCAGGACCAGCCGCTTGGTGACGAAGAAGACCAGCGCCCCCAGGACGCCCGCGATGCCCGGCGCCACCACCCACGCCAAGAACACCTGCGACGCGCCCTGCAAGCCCCAATTCACCTTTCCTATCCCAACCGAAGCCGTCGCCGCGCCAATCATGCCGCCGATAACGCTGTGCGTCGTCGACACGGGCATGCCGTGTCTCGTGGCCGCGGTCAGGAACAGCGAGCTCGCGACGATGGTGCACATCATGGCGAGCAGCAGCACCTGGGGCGCGTCGTCGTAGAGGCGCGGGTCGACGATCTTGGTGCGCAGGGCGTCGGCGACGCGGCCGCCGACGGAGACGCTGCCGGCGAACTCGCAGACGGCGGCGACGACCATGGCCTGCTTGAGGGTTAGGGAGCGCGAGGAGACGGAGCTGGCGAAGGAGTTGGCGACGTCGTTGGCGCCAATGTTCCAGGCGTCGAGTAAGGCGAAGACGGCGGTGAGGGCGAAGATGTAGTCATATTGGGACATGCCGGCGGCGGCCATGGTCGGGAGGGAAGGGTGTCTGGTGGCCGGTCGGTCCGGAGGGGACCAACGGCAACAGATCGATAGGGTTAACCGGTCAACAAGGCAGGATACAGAGGATGAGAGGATCCAAGGTCATATGAATACATCTCTTCGGTGAGATGCATTACCTGGATAGGGAGTAATGGCACATTGGGTGAAGTGCCTCACTGTAGGTGAGTAGTCCTTCGGTAAGCTGAGCAGAGCAGGTGTATGCGCGGGTGTGGGCGGCCGCAGCATTAAGAGGAGTTTGCGATGACAACACCTCTACAAGTACTCCATTCAATAGTTACAACACATGGCAGCCCGCCTCAGCCATGTCAAAAGCCGTTGACGTTATCAAATGCGGATAGTGAAGGAGGGGTAGGGGGGAGGGGGCCAAGGAGAGACTGGGATAAGGCAGACCACAACACACGGGCAGCCAAGCATTTCTTGAGGCTGCGAGGCAAACTGACGCAGTACGTAAGAATAGTCAGATAGAAAAGTATGCTCATATAGTTAGGTGAGGCGGGCCATGCATCAGGGCCACCGTAGCAAAAGGAGCGTGGGCCGATGGTTTCGTCCCAGAATTGTGGTTTTTTTCTTGGCGAGCGTGTGCGTCAGTCCAGGATTCTGATTCGACCAACCAGGGCGGCATCGATGCTTCGGGAACCAAGCGGGCGTCTGTGGATTGACCCTTGTCCATTCGACAATACATAGTTGTAACTTGTAAAAAAGGGAAGAAATCCGCTGCAGAAACGGCCCACGGCGGGCAGCGTCCTTGTCGCGAACGGTATCGACCGCGGGACGGGCTCTTGGCCATGACATGCCGTCCCAACGCATGAATAACGGGCGTTGTCCGAACAAGACGCGCAAGACTTGGTGCAGGACAAGACATGTTCTGGGGCGGGCATTATAATCCGTTTCTGCATCGAGTAATATAGCTTATTGGTGCTTGAACGACAAGAAGAGTCATGTTGCTGATGTAGGAGAAAAGTGATTGCGTAACTCGGATCGACTAGAACACAAGCTGGAAGAGGCGCCATTATCGGGAACATTGCAGCAATTTTTTTTTTTTTTTGGAAGAAGCAGCGAATTTCAAGCAACGGAAGACCGGTACCGAACTTGTTTTACTATTATACTGACGGATAAATGGTGTTGAGATTTGCAGTGGTGGGAGGCTGCAGCAGTTAATACCAGGTCGCACTACCTGCCATTACAGAGGCCGTCACAATAAACACGCAGTAATAACAGTAGTCAAACAGTCTTGAAAACGCTATGAAACTAAGATGCAAAATTAGGTTTTGTTCTTAATAATGTGCTCGTTCGCTTTATCTCTTATCTTGTTGGTAAAACAACAGACTCCTCAGTCAAGTAGTTTCTTTAAATTCTCCGACAACCATACCCGGACCGGGTTCGAGGATTGATTCAGCCCCCTATAACACGTGTTTTGGAAGTCATTCATTGACAGGTTGTAATTAAGCGCTTTACAAAGGCAAACAGCCTACCGCCGCACCAGAAGGCTGGTGACCGAAAGTTGCCTAGTGATCTTGACACTTTGCAGGTCGCAGGCGGCGTTGCAGCCCTGCCAACTCATTGACGAAACTTGCTCACCGATGCACTAGTTAGCAATGTCAGGTACATCTATGCATTCCATATTCAACAAGTCTTGATAAAGCAACTTCGCAACCGCATCAGAGCAAAGTTCGTCACTTCGACCCGACCACACCGCCGCCGTCCACGTGTCCCTGTTCTCGCAGATCATCTGGATCAACACCTCCGGCAGCCTCTTCACCTCCTCCCCTTCCTCCGCCAGCAGTTCTCCGCTGCGCTCCCGGAACCGCCGCTCAAACACCCGCCACGCGCCGCTCGCATCCGGCCGCGGGTAGAACGGGTCGTTGCGCCAGAAGCACATCGCCGCGACGCGTCATCCCCTCCGCGCTCATCTCCAGCGGCCGGCAGCAGTCAAAGTCGAGCATCCACATGCCGTGCGCGCCGAGCGCCTCCGCGTAGAATTCGTCGCCGCCGCCGCCGCCGCCGCCGCCGCCGCCGCCGACGGAGGACGACCAAGGGGACGCGGTGGCCGATCGCGGGGCCGCCAGGACAAGCTCGACGTCGCAGGCGTCGACCCGGGCCGTCCAGTGCAAAAAGGCGAGCGCGTCGGCCATGGCGGTCGCGTAGGCAGCCACGGGCAAGCCCAGCTCCTCCATCTGATCCATGTGCAGCGGGAAGTTTCGCAGGCTGAAGAAGCGCTGCTTCGGGCCGGGGCCACCTTGCTCGGGTCGGCGTCGGCCGAGGTACGGCCGGACTAGGCAGCTCTCGTTGGCCTTGTCGCGCGCGAGCTGCAGAGCGCGTTCCCGGCCTGGGGCAGTACCGGTCGGCGAGGAGCTCGCGCACGGCGAGGCTCATGGGCGGGATCCGCTCGCTGACCAGCGCCTCACACGCCTCGAAGCCCGCCGGCAGCCGGGGCAGGATCGCCGGCCAGAAGAGGATCGGTGTCTGGTTAAGGAAGGTAATGTGGTGAGGGATGTTGACATTAATTGCTGCACGAGCCCCCTCGCCGCTTTCAGCGTTGTCCTTGTAATTCTTGTCGTGCTTCTCTTTATGCGTTGCTCGCTGGCCGCGGCCAAGATTCGTGTGTGCATGTCCCGCTCGTTGGGCAGAGAGCGGCCAGGACCGCCGTCGGCGAGTTTGATCACGACCGTTCCGCCATCTTCCTCTGCCCAAACGGTGCCGCAGAAGCCTTGACCGATTTTCGTGAGCTTCCCCGTGCTGTTCAAGAAAGCTTCCATGTGCGTACAGACAGCAGATGCAATCGTGAAGCGCTGCATGGAGTTTCTGGTGGTGCTGTCTGTCGTGGTGTCGTGAGTAAAGCAAAGCGTAGGTATGCTAGTTGAGTTTAGCAGTGAAATTAGAAGCTCACCAGACCAGAAAAGAGGGGAGGCTCGCCATTCTTTTATGTTTTGGCGAAGAAATGAGTCAACCAAACGGTGCGCTCACATGGTCTCCAACTTGACTTTCACCTTCGCAGCACTATGTTGGCGGCACGAAGCTTACTTATTTAGAATACTCTTTTTTTCCTAAATCCTCTTTTTTTCCTAAATCCTCTTTTCTTTATCTGCATTAGCTTCCTTACTTCATCGATGTCTTTTTTTTTTCAAAAGGCTATAAGCTACTTTTAATGACCATGGCATATTTTCTTCCTCTTTTACAACCTCCTCCAATTCCATGACGAAAATCGCCCCACTAAACCAGTCCATCACCAATGCCGAGTCCCGACCTTCGCCGCCACCAAACCTCCCACCATCAACATCACTACCACCACCACCACCACCAACCATCGCCATGCTACCACGACTTCTCTTTACCACAATGCGCGCCGCCTCCGCCGCCGGCCGCCACTGCCACCACTCCATCCCCGTCGCCGCCTTCTCCTACCGCCACGCATCCTCCTTCGGCGCCGCCCCCCGGCCGCCCAAGCTGCCCGCCAAGGAGCAGGCCGAGTTTGAACGCCTGCAGCGCGAGGCCGCCGTCTCCTCAGCCTTCCAGCCCGAAGCTGCCACCCCCGAGCCGACGACGCCAGCGGACACGGAGCTCAACGAGGGGGGCGGCCTGTACCGCGGCGCGCGGCCCGAGTTCGAAGGCGAGAAGAACCCGCGCACCGGCGAGGTCGGTGGGCCCAAGAACGAGCCGCTGCGCTGGGGCAGCGGCGGCGACTGGAGCTACAACGGCAAGGTGACCGATTTTTAAATGAGCCAGTCGAGCAGACGGAGAGGGCGGTCCGCGTCCTCGACGTTACGACAACATCGAGACGGAGCTGCCCGCCGCATCGGAATCACGGCTGCCGCGACTAAAAGGTCGTCTGTACATTACACTTTCCTGCTTCGACTTGGTTTTGCCAATTTCAAAAGGATAAATCTGTCGTCATGTTTTCCTTTCTGTATTATATACATATACACAGCGCCCGTTTGGTATCAATAGAAGAAGAGAAGCTACGCTAGATTCCCTCAAGCCGTACGTGATTGTGCAGTTTGCCAAACCGAACAAGGAAGAAAAATGTCCCTCGTCCATCGCCCGCTCTCCACAAGCAAAAGAGAGATATACGTAGACGGAGAAAGATCTGTCTACGCAATCAAAACCATATCGTAACTTTGTCCACAAGTGTTAGTACATAAATCCGACCACGCGGCCATCCATTTATGCCGCCGCCTGGGCATTCTCGTCCCCATTCTTGAGCTTGCCGTCCTCGCCCTCGCCCATTACCACGTCCTTATCCGCAGGTCCCGGTCCTTCCTTAGACTCGGTCTTGGTGGAGGCAACCCCGTGAGCTGTGTGATTCTCCTTATCGGCTCCGTCCTTGGACGACGACGGCAGCACATCGTCCTCGCCCGCAGCCACCACGGCGCGCGTCTGCTCCGCGTCCGCAGGCTTCAGCCAGCTGCCCGATATCTCGCCGCTACGCCTGCCAGCGGCCTGCGCCTTCTCTGCGACGGCATCACGCTCCCGGCCGCCGCCGCCGCCAATGTTGCCAAGACTAACATTGACCTCCATCATGGCCTTGCGCATGCGGTCGCGTCTCGCCTGGCCGCGCAACCGCGCCTGCGGCTGGCCGCCGTTGGCCACCCACCTGATGCTCTGGATCATGTAGCTTACGCCGTCGTGCACTGGGTGGCGGCCGCCAAACTCGCCGCCAAACTCGCGGCTTGTGACACCATGTCGCGTGCAGCTGGCGTACTTGACAAGCCGCGGCAGGATGAGCACATTGATGTGCAGATCCCGGTTCGCCGGGATCGGCATCGGGCCTGAGTTGGGTACCGACGCGATGAGACCCTCCGATGTGAGCTCAGCAGGCAGTGGCTTAGGCTTCTTGGGCTCCTTAGACTCCTTGGCACCGTCCGCCTTGTCCAGACTGAGCATGGCGGCATCAACGTCTTCAGCCCATTCGCCCATGATCCAGCCTGAATGAATGCAAGCTGCAACAGCGTCCGAGTCGTCGGTATAGACGTCGGTTCCCCACAGAAAAGCCCGCGCAGTAATCTCCTCTCTCGCGACAGGCATAAGATGCACGCGAGGAACCTTGATAGTTAATACGCTGTTCTCCTTCCCCTTGATGCGGTCCAGGGGCAGCGATTTGGGCGTTGACGAAAATCCGCGGTTTGTCGACGTCCTAGGTACAAGTCTGCCGGTCTTAATTTCCGTCTCGTAGACAAAGTCCCCGAGATGGTGTCGAGGTTTGTGTGCTATCGAATCCAACACGGCCTTGGATGATACGATCGTCTTTGTCTTGGGCGGTACTATTTCGATAACCTTTTGTTGCGGCGTTGAACTTTGCCCAAGTCGCGCGGCATTTTGCTGTCGATAGAGAGTTTCAGACGCGATCTTGTCCGCCAAAGTTTCCACCGTCGCGCCTGATTTGCCACTCTTGAGTGGCGTTATCCCTACCAAAGGTGAAGATACCGAGTCGGGGGCGTGGTGATGATGATGGTGATGACTAGGGCAAATGTTAGCAGTGAGCCGAGGTATGATTTCATGAGCAGCATACTGATGGTGGTGATGGCCTTTGACGCGCTTAGCGCCACGTCCAACAGGAGTCCGCCTCCCGGTGCTATCATCATCGGGCTTGTCAACGTCATCTTTGAGCTTTCTTCTTCTCGGCTTCTTGGTGCCGTCTGTAGTAGGGTCGTCGTCCTTGGGGAAGGCGCTGCCCGACTGGCCGCTCGGCGCAGATGTGACTGGGCTGGAAGCGCCCATGTTGCCTACTCCACTGCCGATGCCAGCAAACATGCGTCCGAATTCGCTCTTGATGCCCGGCTCGCCGGCGGGGCCTGGCTGCTGCGGCTGAGCGCCTTGAACGGCTTGCGGGAGGGGTGACAGACGCCCCTTACGATTCATCTCCTGCACGCCCAAAAGGTTGCGCTGATGGATTTGGATGTTTTGTTCATCTCCGTTTCTCTGTCGGGCAGGGTCGTACGACACGGGGCCATGCACGGGATTGTGATACCCAGCGGGGGGTTGCTGCTGGTGCTGCTCCTCGCGAGGGCGAGCACCGGCGTGCAAGCGTTCCAGAGAGGCCCGGTCAGCTGGAGGGTCGTAGGGCTGCGGAGGACCACCAGCAGAGTTTTGAGGATGTGGATGCGACGTGGGCGCGTAGCGGTCTTGATGCTGTTGCTGCTGCTGCGGTGGCGGTGGTGGTGCTGTTTGGTAAGCAGGGCCATGCGAAGGGTAGGGGCCGGAAGCGGGCGGATATTCGGGATGGCCACGCTGGTGGTCCATCGGAGCGCGATAATTGTGATCGGACGCCTGGCGACCCCAGTGTTGCTCTCGAGGCGATTCGCGTCGGTCGACTGGCTCTGCCCTGGGATAGGATGGCTGGTTTCGGGGGTTGAGCTCTGGCGGGCCGTGGCGCGGTTCTCCACCAGAGTATGCGTGCTCTCTGGTGTCTCGCTCTCGTTGGTCGGGTACGGCCTGCCTGTCGCGCTCCAACCGGTATCGATCATCAAAAGGATAATGTCTCTGGGTAGTGCGGTCTAGATAGTCTGCGCCGTGTCGAGGGTCGTCGCGAGGTACATAAAGCTCCTCTTGCGATGTGCGCGCCAAATCGATCGGTCTCGGGAGGTTACCAAAGGGTTTTTGCGGGTTCCCTGGCGTGTTGGGCGGACCAGTCGACGTCCTGCCCGGCTCGCGGCCGGATTCCGCAGGGGCGGAGGGGTGCCTCGCGTGATAGGACTGCGCCGTATTGTATCGCTGGACGTCGGGGGTGGTGGCATAGTGGCCTCGCGGGGACGGGGCGGCGCTGCCGCGCGGGTCGTAGTTTCGCTGGTGGTCGGGCGTCTGCGGGCGTCGAAATGGGTTGAAGTCGGACGAGGCCGAGTGCATGCGCGGCGACGCGTGGATGGACGAGCCGTACTGAGGTGCCGCCGATGCGGTCGGAGGAGCCGAGTGCGGCGAGTAGTGCGCCGGGGGAGGCTGCGAGTCGCGCGAGGCCGGTGGCGGGCCGCCCAGCATCGACGATATCGACATAGAGCTACCTGAGGCTGGTGAGGATCGCGTGAGCGAGTTCAGGGCGGGGAGGTCTCTTCCCGAAGCGAAGGAGCCGGGCGGCGGCGGCGGCCCTACACCACCGAGCGGCTGCCGCGGTGGTTGCGGTCCATAGCTGCCGGAGCTGTGACTGTGGTGGTGACGCGGTGGTTGATGTTGCTGGCCCAGGTGCGGCGGCGGCGTGTGGGTGGGAGGCGGCATGGCACGGCCAGCACCGAGGTGTAGCGCGACGGGTGGTGGCAGCGTCGAGGCAAGCGAAGGAGTTCGAGGGTCGGGAGGCTGTGAGCGCGGGCGTCGCGACGTGCTGTCAGGCTGGGCGTCGCAGGATCGGGATGGCGATCGGCAAGTCGGCGATGGGGGAAAACAGCGCCGCTAGAGTGACTGAGGCGTATTCGGATGATTCGAGACTGTCGCGCAGAGTTCCTGCCGCTTCTGTGATGATGATGCGCCAGTTGGTGTTGAAGATGCAGCAGATGCGGTGACGGAGTAACGGGATAGTGGTGGCTGGCGTTGCTTCTATACGGAGGTTACTAGCCGTAAAATTTACTGGGCAACCCTCGTCTGGGGGCCTTGGCTTTGGCATTTGGCTTTGGGCAAAAAGTTTTTTTGTTCCAGTTTATTATTAGCGTTGGAGCAGCTGCTCGCTGACCTGATGCTTGCCTCTGTGGCCCCTGCTTGGGCCGCTGTGAGTGGGCAGATGCTGGGCAAAAGCTGGGGACGATGCCTTTGGGCGCCCCCGGAGCTACTGACACTAATAGAAGTTACAGGGCTTGCGGACGCTGGAAGCTTCTTACCGGGATCCACCATTGGGGCCCGAACCTATGTGCCCCGAACTACCTGATGTGCCAGCTCTAGTATCAAGCGAGGAAGGCGGGCGGGTAGGCGGCTCGCAGCAGCTGAGTTTTAGGGAGAATTCAACGACAAAGAAAGAAGTTCCAATATCATACTCTGACTCCAGGGAAATATTTTCTCCCGTTCCCCTGAGACTGGCATGCACATGCTGCCCGGGCTGGTTCCACTCAAGGATAATCCGTAGAGCTGTTGGAATCGGTGGGGCCCAATCGCCTCGGAATCCAGAAAAAAAAGTGGCAAGTCAGCCTGGGGAATACAAACCGCCCGTCCGTTGAAACACCGTCTTTCTTCTATGCAGGCTACGCACGCGCCAGAGTCACGCGAACCCCTATCTCAATAACAAGAGATTCGAAAATCGACAAGTCATGGCTATCCCGACAAAGGTCATCTAATGCCAAGGTCTCGGATATCATTCTATGGTGCATCAAATCGCGCAAACGACATCAGTCTTCCCTCCCCCGCAAGCTCCATCCCTTCTTGAAGACATAAGCTCTCAGCACCGGTGCCGAAACCCTTCTCCCTCTGCAGATCTCCCTCCACCAAATCTCATCGACAAAAATTACACTCGGCATGGGACTTCTCGCTTCGCGCCACTTCTCCATTCCCCAGCCTGTCCGTCACACCAACTCATCATCTGCGGGTTGTAAGGAGAGTTTTGTGGGTATAGAGTTCTGAGGGTCTATCATAACCTTCATTTATTTCGCCAGTCCCCCACACGTCATCATCACAACAACTAGAGCTCCGAAGTCAACTGATCCTGTTCCTCATCTACTCTATAGGCTCCACACCATCCTCCCCCTCTTCGACCACAACAACAAGCCACGGCACAATGATAACCACTCACCAGCACTGCCCGAGCCAGGTTCTCACAATCTTCCTCCCCCATTCTCCAACCGACCCTCACAGGCCTTGGACCCCGCATCAGCTTTCCCATGAACCAAATCAGCCATGTCCTCGGCGCAGGACCCCGCGCGCTTTGCGAAGGCACCACAGCATCGCCACATATGCCGAGTATCGATTCGCACATGACACATGCCCGCACCGTCACCCCGACCGCCACCCGAGACTGACTGCATCGGCTGAAGTTAGGGGCCAGCTTAACCTTAACGTACTCTATGAACGCTTTGCTGCCCTGAGCAACTGCAGCTGGGTCATTAGTGGTTGCATGCCCATGGTTCGAAACGACCCTATCAGTTCCCAACACTAACACTATACACTACTACTGCCTCGAAGTTTTAGCCTTGAGGTGTTCGAGGTATCTTTGCTTTGCCGTCTCTTTAATGACACGGTGTGGCTAATAAATGTTACTACTGGTCATGATTTCGCCCTGGTAGTTCAGCGAGCAACGCGATAGCCATATCAAGCGGAAGAGTGAGTCGAGGGCGAACACGTAGAAGCAACTTTGTCAAACGTAGCGCAGAAAAGCGAGCCAAAGTACCACCCAAATTTCCTAGCATCGAGTATTGTTTCAAAGTGATACAGGCGTCTTATCAGTACTCAGCTTTCAAGATGCCCACAACCGACTTACACGTGAAGTGGCCGCCCACAACCGTCGCTCTTCAGCGTGAAGATGCCCTCACGGAGAAGCTTCACTAGGTTCCGTGTTATGAAGAACTATTCTGTTATCTTGAGAAGACGCCATTACCCACAAAGGTATGCGCGACGCCCTCACTGCACATTTTATTGCCGTACGTCTCGCATTTCGTTCATATGACAAGAATCCTCAAGTTATCCCAGATAGCACTTACACCCTTCACTTTACACCTGATCCAGTTGGTTACAACTTTGCGCAGGAATTAGAACTCTTATCAGGTTCATTCATTTCTTTCTTTCATTCATTCATTCATTAAATACAGACGCTGCTGTCTCTTATGCGTCTCAAGGGTGCCGAGGCGCTCATATGCTCGCGCGGTAAGCCGACGAATAGACCCTTCCACTCTTCTAGCTCTCGGCGACTGGGTTCTCCGGCTTCGCAACCGGATTCTCCGAGTCCGCGGTCGGCCTCTCTAGCTCCACAAACGACTTCTCTGACTCGACAGCTGGGGTCTCCGGCTCCTGAGTCGACCTCTCTTGTTCAACGGCAGCAGGCTTATCCGGCTCCGCGGCCGAACTTTCTTGTCCCACGACCGTGTGCTCCGGCTCGACAACCGTCGTATTTGGTTCCGCGACCGATTTCTCAGGCTCAACGACTTGGAACTCTGTCTCCAAGACCGGCTTCGACTGCACGACCGGCTCCTCTGAAGCGGCAGCCGGCTTCTCTATCTCCACGAGCGAGTCTTCCGACACAGCAGCGGGTTTCTCTGATTCGACAGCCGGGTCCTTTGGCGTGTTGATCTCCTGTCCCTCCCTGAGGGCAATCTTGGCAAATACCTGCCCCGGGACGCCGAACTTGATGCCCCACACCAGGTCGTGGTCGGCGCCCTCGACGCCGCTCGTGCTGTACGCTATGACGCCGTCGCCGCAGCGCTCCCGCGCCCAGCAGGCATCGAACCATGCCGGGCCCTGCTCGCCGTAGTCGCCCACCATCGAGTCCGTCTCCGCGTGGAACGCGTCCACCGTCAACTGGCGGCCCGCCGCGCGCAGCGCCTCAACCAGCCGCGGCACGTACGCCTCATAGTCACCCCAGTCGCTCCAGCCGCCGGCCCCCGCGTGCATCATGAGCACGGCGTCGACGCCCATGCCCTGTAGGTTCTCGCCGTATGCCTTGGAGATGAGCGTCGGGCGCAGCCGCATCTCCATGTCGCCGTCCGTCTCCGCGGCGGCGTCGGGGTCGGCGTCGGCCGGCGTCGTGACCGCGCCGATGCTGCGGGCGACTACGCCAAAGAGGCTTGAGACGGCGGAGACGCCGACGCCGAGGGCCGGGTTGACGGTGCTCTTCATGAACCGCGCCCACGTCTCGGACTGGCCGATGACGGCGGCAGGAAGGCTCTGGGCGATGCGCATGGAGATGACGCCCGATTGCGTGGGCGGGATCCACGGCCCCGCGATGGCGAGGTACCCGCGCTCCGGGTGCAGGAGCTGGGGGTGGTGCAGGATAAAGTCGAGCGCGTAGACGGTGCCAGCGCTATGGCAGCCGACCGAGACGTACTTGATGCTCAAGTGTGCCAGGAGTGCCGGTATCGCAGCTGCAAAGTGTGGCAGTTGTTAGTGAGGCTATTTGGTTGTCGAGAAGGTTGGTAGAGCGGGCGGTTACCCTGCCAGACTTGGAGCCTGTCTTGTACTTCCACCTCGTCGGTGCCGCCGTACCCGGGCCGCTCGACGTTGATAATGCGAATTTTGTGCTGTTTGGCAATGTGATCCTTGGCCGTATGCATCCAGCGGCTGCCTAAGAGGGGAGGGAAGAACAGGAAGACGTTCTCCTCATGGGGATTCTCCTCGTTGCGATAGCCATAATCGGCGTATGTAATCTTGAATGCATCGGCTCGGCCTTCGATGGTGTTTCCGGGGAGACGAAATTCCCGACTAAATCTAGGGTCGTCAAGCGATGGCTCAAATGACATCTTGGGTTTGATGGATGATGTTGCAGAGGTAGTGTGGTGTGGGAGCTTCTCAGCTCACCGAGGCTCGGCGGCGAATCAGTGCCCAATGCCTGACGCATCCAACCACACGTCGTGAAGGTTTACTGGCTGCCCAAGCATCCCACAATGAGGATTCTCACTTCTCACTTCTCACTTCTCACTTCACCCTACGATTCTTAGAAATTTAGTTTCAACATTTTTGAGATGGCAACAAGATGTATGCGACCATGCAGACACGAACACGAGAGCCTGGGTCAGAGTCAGGCCACCACTACCCTGGAGCGGTCATCCTGCAGAATTTCTGCTGCAAAACGGAGCTTCAGCCGACGTGTGCAAGTTCAACGGTCAAAGCAGACGAGACCATCTACTGTTCTATCAGCAATTGGCAGATAATAGACTCGATACGGAGACGAGCTTAAATACAGCTTCTGCCGATTTTGCGAGCCGCAAACGATAACTCGAAACGAACGCCGGCCAGCATCTCACCGACCACAAGAATCAGGAGAACACAAGCCTCCGCACGAAATCAACACGCAGAAACACGTCAGCAAACCATCCCCGAACCCGCAACCAAACTCAAACAGCCTCCCCCGCCTTTCAGAATGGGCTCCTCCGACATCCCGCCCGCCTCGGCGCCGGCATGGCTCATCCCCGCGTCGACGCTGTGCCTCTCCGCCGGCGTCGGCCTGTGGCTCGCCTGCTACGTGCTCATGGCCCGGCGCGCCGCGCGCACCCTCGCCACGCCCATGCCTCTGCTCGCCCTCGGCCTCAACCTCGCCTGGGAGGTCGTCTTCGCCGCGTACGTGACCGAGATGCCCATCGAGCGCGTCGGCTTCGTCCTGTGGCTGCTCTTCGACCTACCTTTACTGCGCGCGACCGTCGCCCACGCGCGGCACTCGTTTGCGGACGCGCCGCTCATCGCGCGCCACGTAAAGGGCATACTTGCGCTCATCTTTGTGGCCGGGCTGGCGGGCAACTACGCGTTCGCGGCGTGGTGGCTGGCGGAGCCGCACCGCGGACACGGGCGCAAGGACGGCAAGCCGTGGCGAGGCCGCGAGGGCAGGGACACGACGGAGCTGGCGTGGTGGTCCGCCGGCGTGGCGCAGATGGTGCTGAGTGTGTCGTGCGTGGCGATGCTGCTGAGCAGAGGGCACTCGGGCGGGCAGAGCTACGGCATCTGGTAAGTTTTGTCGCCCGCCGGCCCCCAAAGGGGCTGGCTGTTGCTTTCAACCTCTCACTCCCTGATCCCCGACCAAGCCGCCTGTTGTCCATGGTACATGAAGCTACCTGTCGTGAAGAAGGGCGTGCCTTATCAATATTTCCTCCACAATGTGCATGGGTCTCAGGTTCAGCTAAGCCCTGTCGGCGCACAGGGCTGGCCGGCACCGAGGCGACGGCCGAGTTTGCTGATTGGGCTCGTTCAGCGAGACGGCTTCCCCATGTGTTTTACACGTCATAAATTCCGAAAGAAAACACAACTAACATTGTCTTGTTAAATAGGCTCTGTCGCTTTGCTGGCTCGCTCATGGGGTTGCCCGTGACTTGCGGCCTGCTCTGGTGGTACTGGCCCGAGCCTCACGGGTTCATCTTTCACCCACTCTCCTACATCATCATGGTGCCCACGTTTGCCTGTGACATTGCGTACCCGTTCCTTCTGGCCCATGTTCGAAGAACAGAAAAGGTACTCCCGAACGGCATGGTGGTCGCTGGCGGTGGCGACGAGACCAAGAAGAGGCAGTAGTTAGTGGGCTCGGCATTTGGGCATTGGATAAGGACAGGCGACTGAATAGACGGAATACCCCGTCGATGGCACATCTCAATATCCATGTAACACGCAAGTTACGCCTCAGTGCATGGGCAGAGGCGTCTGTAAATTACCTTGCTCTCTTGACCGCGGCTTGGACTCGAGAGACCGCGGACTCGAGAAACAATAGCAAGCACTTGAAAAAAGGTTCTGCAAATTAAATCTTTTCCAAATTGATAGCGAGTTGACCAATGTCGTCCGTTCTCCGACACCATGCAATTCCATGTCAAAGACAACACTGGACCAGGATGCTGCATGGCTTCTTCTCTGATGAACGGATCCACCAAGTTGCGCTTCCAAGGTTCTCTCGAAGACTTCAAAGCGAGGTGTCACGTAACACGAAAAGCCGAGTGCGGCTGTGGCAGATTCGAGACCCGGCCTGAGACAAGTGGCTGCGAGCTTGGCCTGGCGAATCCTTCACTTCGGGTTCACAATGGTTTTCGATCGCAAAAGCTTCAGTTGTTCTTCAAGTGTTGGGTCTCTGTTTCCGGAGTAAATAAGACTCTCTGTGTGTTTTGTAACCGTCACGAGAACAACTCTTACACATAAAACGGGAAACGAGAAAAGTCGTTACTGTTGCCTGTGCCGCAGGTGCCGACGACGCGACAACGTCGATCCCCAGACCGTTATTACTCACGACATGCATAAATCTGCAGGGCTTTTTCTGTCTTAGACTTTTTTTTAAGCCCCTTCGGAGGACGCTGACCCTTCTGGATGCTCGGTTGACCTTTTTGATGAAGGCTCACGAAAACTTGGTCGCTGCAGCTACCGCCAACAACACACAGACCAGCGGATCATCGCTGCAGCGGGAGCAGGGCCGTCTTCGGCCCTCCAAGAATATCTGCAGATCCGGAGATGCTTCGGTATGAAGATGCTAAAAAAAGGAAACAGAGGGCGTCGAATCACGACGGGAGCAAAAGACGCCAGACGAAGCTACAATGGTGCAGCAGGAGCGGCTGCGGATGACGACATTTCCGCCAGAAATGTTCTCCGTGAAAATGCTTGCTGCCTAACGCAGCTAGTTAGTGAATACCTTTGCGAGTTCATTTTGTCGTGTCATCCTTGCATGTTTCTTGCTGGCCGTTTTGTAAGGGGACTGAGACAACGTTGGACGCCCGCGCAGCTCATCATCCTGGGGCGTGAAGTTTATCAGCTGGGCGTTGGGCGTTTAATAGGGTCTGTGCACATGCATTGAAAAGCCCCCCCCCCCCCCTTTCATGTAAAGCCTTGTTGTTCCTGCATTGGAGTCTTGATCAAGGTAAGTTACTGGCAGTTGAGCGGGGGTGAACAACACTTTGGCAAATCGTTACGGATTATCCGTCCTTGGTACGTCAGACTCTCCAACTGCTTCAGGTGCTTTGTTGACGGGACGGTGGCGAAACTCGTTCATTTTGTCATCGGAACGGCGCTCTCCCTTTCCTGCCAATGTTCAGATGAGACCTTTGATGAGACCTGTGTCTTCTCATCTGTACGAGTTCCAGACCTTGTCCATGCGAACTGACGCCTTTGCTCACTGAGTCACATGGTCTGTCCGTCCTGCGGGGGGGCCAGCATTTGGTGTTTTCTGTGGGGGAATCACACTGTGAAGTACTCCGTAATAAACCTGTTCAATTAGTGTCGCAAAACGACTCCGCCGTTGCGTCTTTTCTTCTCTCGCCTTTTATCCCGTATCGGATCACGAAGAAATGAAGGGGGGGTGTGTCATGATGAAAAGCGCTACTTGTATTATCAACCATGAACAAGTTAGTTAGCGCAAAAGGCACGCACCACATCAACTTGCCGCTTGATGGCATCCATGACATCGCCGGCGCAGACTTGTGCCTAGATTGCAGGCGTCTGGCCCAGTGATCAGCAGTGTACGCCCGCAGCGGATCGAAGATTGAGCTATATGCATGCACCCCGAGTTCATTTGAAAGGAAAAACAGCTGGTCATTGCGTCCATAACTTGCCCTGTGCTCGGCCGGATCTTCCTCATCCGCTCTTGGCTGCTGTCGATTCCCATGCAACCGCAGCGTCGGAATTATTAGCGTCGCCGGGGAAGGCAAAGCTGCTGCAAGGCTTTTTTCTCTCAACCGACCCGACGCCCGCTCGCCGCCTGTGCCTTTGATACCCGAAGTGGGGAGTCGCGAGATTGGAACGTCTTGTTGTGAGGTGAGGATTGCATGAAAGCCGCTGGATTGAGACGGAAACCTGAGGCGGAGGAAGCTCCATCCCGCGTAAGCTTATCAACCACTAATAACAATGCGCAGGTTTTCCACCTTTTCTACTCGACAAAAATGCCAAAAGGCTCGGCCCTTGCCGTCCTCTTTTAGATAGGCTCTGGTGGCCAGCAGTCCCCTAATTACTTCCCGTCAGCTGCTAGCTTGGTCACTTCCTCCACATTCAAGGCGTCTTTATTATGGAGCAGGAAAATTGGCGTGCTAGTCGTTACCTATTGCCCGTGAGCCAACTACGAAGGAGCTGCCAAGCAAGCTACCTGGGTGCTTACCGTGTTATCGGTAGCTGCTCTGGCAACACGAGAATCGGAGCCGAGGAAGCGATGTTCATCACGTTATCGTAAAAACCCCAACAGCCCGGGAATCATCCGAGTTACGGAGTAAATGCACCTAAAAGCCGGGGTTATCGTGCACTGGCCCATGCATCGTCCAACTTGGCGCAACACCAGTTGCAGTCAGGCTCCTTGATTGGTAGAAGGAGCTCTGGTTACGGGGCAAACTAACTCTGACGGGGAAAAGAAAGGAGCAAGAAAAACCGCGGAGGTGACATCAACGGAATGAAAAGTAGGTAGATGACCAACAAGCGGCGAGCGGAACTGCGGCACAATCGGCCACTTCGGAATGGGTGCGTGCCTGTCGATGATGATGATGATGACCACTGTTAGAGCCCGAGGCCTCGGTTTCGGCATCCCTTTTGAGAATCGCTAGTTCAAAAAGCCCCCTGTCATGACCAAACGATACCCTGCTCCATGTTGAAGATTCATTGGCGGAGCACAGGCGAACCCCGATGACAGCTGCGCAAAGCCGCAAGCTCGGGACAGCTTAACTTGGTCCGCCGGTTCCCGAGGCGCAAGGGTAAGGAATGGTCTGGCGATTGCCTCTCTGCAAATGCTCGTAACATTGAGAGTGGCCTAACAATGCTAGTTACCCCGTAGCGTCCACCTTGGACGTCAGGTGCATAGCTTAGCAGTGGTAAAGGGTAGCTCTCACCTTTAGATTGTTTCCGAATCCCAGAAAAGAAAATACCAAACTTCGAAGCACGAACGAATGACTTGCGTAGCCGACTTTCAAGCGCTCGTGAACTAACGACATATCATGGATTATGAGATCGATAACTATCAGCTTCCAAAGCGCGGCGAACATTGAACTGAGACAGAAGCCTAAAAGAACCACTCCAAATCCATGGTTGACCAGTTTTCTATCACATCCGCCGTTAGACATGACGAGTCCCTTTGCACTAAAATAAAACAAATTTCATAACAAATCATGTGATGGCATTGCCAACAGAATCTTGGAAACCTTGATGCAGGCCTGTGCTGGTATCCAATCAGATGGGGGCTGTGACATTTGCGGCTCGCTGGCGCCCCGCACTGTAATCAAGCAGACACCGCACTGAAGACGCCCATCCGGCAGTGCCCGGGGAGATAATCTGGTGCAGATAAGCTATACGGAGTATATTATTAGTTATTCCAAATATCTTTTTTAGAAAGCCCGTCGTCAAGGGGTGTGCGACTCTTCACTCCGTCCGGCACGATAGATTGATTGGTTTGGATGGAGGAAATTTGAGGCCCACGATCCGTGACCCTGAGCACGAAGTGTATTTTCTTGGTTCTCTAGGTATTGCCTCTTTCGCTTAGTTGAACTGGAGGAGAAGCGTTGTTGTCTCTTGTCGCTTTCGTTCACCCCGGCGCTCGCCCCCGCGGGAACCGTGGCCCCTTGCGGGGGAGAGAAGAAGAAAGAAGAAGCAGAAGAAAATAAAAGAAAAAGACCGACGGGCTGTTCCAGGAACCAGAGTGACGGGTGCCGTGTGTGGATATGATTGGACATTTGGACTCGGAGGAAAAAGAAAGCAAGAAGCAGGGGAGCACCAACCGATGCACACAAACCCATCCTTTCCTCCACCACGTCCCAGGAAATTGGGTGGCGGCTACTATATACATCTGTGTAAAACTTTGGCGTTCGGTTCCATCCTGGTGTTGCTGTACTCAGTTTATTGCCCGCGCTCTTTTTCTGACAAGCCTGTTCTCCTTCAGCGACAGGGTGCGTGCGGGATGCTAGTGAGATCTACACGCGTATCCCGATAGAGAAATGTGTGGGCTCACTTCGATGTGATGAGTTGTGTCCCGTTTCTGAGATTCTATTCTGAGAACTGACACGTCTTGTTCGTTTTGGCGGGCTGCCACCGACAACCAGTGACACCGAGTCGCCGTGGGCTGGGCACACGGGCCGCCTCACGCGGCGGCTATTGCAATTAGGTTGCGGCGTGGCTTCGCCAAACTTGAAGTTCTGCACGTAATCAAATCTGTCGCTTTGATATTGCCCTCTCGGCACCACCAACGCCGGTGCCTGCATATTGTTCTTGTGATATTAGGTAATTCGCGTCATAGAAGATAGAAAATCATCACCGTACATATTAGACGAGGGGTTTCTACGGATAAATGAGGGGCTCCTTATCGAGTGGCTTCCAGCTTCCAGGGGGAGTAAACACAGCTGGTCCCAAGCATCTGGCACGTACATGGATTGTCGCTCGCGAGCTAGCCGACGCCTGTGGAGAAACAGGTACTAACAGAAAACGGTTCTTGACCAGACTCGAGCGTTTTTTTGCTTCTTGCGCTCGCTACTGAACGGGACGGGTTGGGGATTTACAGGCGTACGGCCCCCATGCCAGCCCATGCTTATTACTAGTACTTCGTCCGGTGTCCTGTCTCGAGGCGCAAAGGA